TACATCTTGCGTTGAATTTGAAAGTAAACATATTCGACAGATATCTGCCTGTCGTTGCCGGCAGGTTATGCCGGCAATGGTACAATCTGCGGGCGGAAGAAGTTACAGCGCTTCGCAAACTTTGCGAAGATACGGATATTGTGCCTCTGCTGGCTGACAAAGGGAAGTCGACCATCGTCCTGGACCGGGAGGTATACGAGAAAAAGGTATGGGATCTTCTTGGCAGCCATGCTTATGTAATGCTCAAGAAAAATCGGACGCCACAGGTTCAGAGGAACTTGAACAAAATCCTGGCAGATTTTCAAGAAATGCCCAGAGTCAAAGAGCCTTTACTTGCGACTTATTTGCAGGAATGGCTCCGCTCCAGGTTTTTATGGCCTTTCAAAGATCCACAAACCCAACGTGCCTCTACGACCTATTGTGGACTTTACAACTTCACCGCTTCGGGCGCTATCCAATTATCTTCACCGGACTTTGGCTCCCCTCATCAGAAACACGTCGACCCATGTAGAAAATGCTGGCCACTTTGTGGAACGCGCCTCGCAAATACCTCTCAGCGACGGTGACACCATGGTGTCTTTCGACGTGGTGTCCCTCTTCACAAGTGTGCTGCAACTCGCGAAGCCCTCGAAAAAGACAGCTCCTTGACCACAAGAACCAACCTCACTGTGGAGGAGCTGTGCCGTCTGCTCGAGTTTTGTCTCGGCAGCACATACTTCACCTTCAAAAGGGAGCTTTTCAAACAGGTCAGTGGCACTGCAATGGGTGCGGCCATCTTGGTCACAACGGCGAACCTCACGATGGAGACAATTGAGCAAAAAGTGCTGAGGTCTTTCTCCAACAGCCCCAAAGTATTCATGCGCTATGTGGATGATTGTTTCTGCATTCTCAGGGAACTGGACGTGACTAATTTTTTGGCACACCTCAACTCTATCGATCCGGCCATTAAATTTACCGTGGAATGTGAGACGGATGGCACCTTGCCGTTCCTTGATGTGCTGGTGAACCGTCGAGGACAAGATCTGACATTTGCAGTGTACCGAGAACCAACACACACCGGATGCTACCTCGATTTTGACTCCAACCATCCAAGGAGTCATAAGGCCTCAGTTGTTTCGACCCTGCTGCGTAGGGCGACTATCTGCTCGTCGGAAACCGATAGAAAGAAGACCATAATTGAAGACCTAAAGAAAAATGGCTACTCTAGTAGCTTTATTGAGCGCATCGTCCGACACCAAGGTCTCGCCAGACAAAACCAGATGCCAGTAGAAGAACGACAGCCCCATCGAGTCGCGCGCATCAGCGTTCCCTAGGTAAAGGGAACCAGCGAAGTGCTCACATGAGTACTGGGAAAGGAAGGTATTCTGGTGGCCCACAAGCCCACGTCCACACTGGGAAGGTTTATGCCAAGACCGAAAGATCGTCTACCAAAAGAAAAAGTGTAGGGCGTGGTTTACACCATTCCTTGCGCAGAGTGCCCTGCAACCTACATCGGCAAGACTAAGAACTTTCCCGAGCGTATCCGCCAACACAAGAACGACGCGCGGAAGTTTGACAGTGAGCGCAGCGCCATTGCCAAACATTGCGATACCCTAGACCATTGCATTGACTTTGCGAATGCGCATGTGGTGGACACAGGGCCCAATTTTCAAAGAAGACTTTTCTTGGAATCGTGGCAAATCCAGCACACGCTAGGAAACCTAAACAGGTCGCTGGGCGCTCTGCCCTCTGTGTACGCACAAGGCCTCTGTGACCTGACGGAAAAGCTGAAGAAACGACCATCTCCATAACTAAAAAAGTTATTTTACAATTTTTTAAATTTCCTAACTTCTCCTTTTTTAATTTTCCCTTTTCTCTTTCTTTTCTTTTTTGAAGACGAAGAGGTTAGGAGCTGCTGCTCTGTCCGCGTGCCTTCAGTCACCCCTGAAGAAGAAACCGTGTCGGTTTTGAAACGTCGGGTTGCCTTTCAAATTTTGGTTGGAGATACATTTTCGGACTTTAGATCTTGCATTGAAGTATGACGAGAACGATGCTTCCTTAACCTTCCGAAATTGTGTGTGCCATTTGGATGTCTGTAATTGCGTTACTTTTTTAACGCGAGTGCAGTTGCAAAGCGGTTGCGAGCAAGCAGATGAGACGGCAGCCCTGACGACCAAACTGCACACTCGTGCTCTTTCGAGGAATCTGGGCGATGCACGACAAAAGAACGCATGTGCGGCGCCGTCGGCACAATCACGGTGAATCAGCGTTTCACGTCGCGCGACTGTCGCTTCTGTGAGAGCGACACTCGCCCTCCCGCAATACGTGAAGCAAAAACCGTTGCAATACTAGGAAGCTCGCGCTGAAGGCGATGTAACTGAAGCGCTGAAGGCGATGTAACTGAAGCCCTGCCGTTCTCAACTTGTCAGTGTACATTGTGCCACATGCACGGGCACAATGGCGATCTCTCCATAGACTTCAAATCGAAGCGAGAGCAATCAATTCTGCGTCAAACTCGGCAGATATGACAGAGAGAAGCTTCGAAATGATTCAGCAGGCTCGTGTCAAAAAGCAGTGAATTTGGCGAAGTGTTTTAAGTGGCGCTCGCGTTTCAGGAATGGCAGTACATTGCTGGAAGACTAATACCCATGCCACACGGGCAACTCGAATGCCATTTACAACGAATGACATTTGAGCGGACGGCCAATCAGCGCGCGACACTTCGGGCGTGGCGCATTCCACGCGCGACAGATTGCGAGCCGATTCGCCGATCACACAAATGTCATTCGTTGCAAATGGCATTCAAGTTGCCCGTGTGGCACGGGTATAAGAGGGGTAGGGCGACCTTATCCGACCTCTCCTTGACTTCAGTACCATTCTGGCGTTATTGAGGTGCGAGCACCACTTAAAACACCTCGCACATCCCACTGCTTTTTGACATAAGCCTTCTAAATAATTTCAAAGGTCTCTCTTTTAGATTTTCCGAGTTTGACGTAAAATGGATGTTGGCTCTCGCTTTGGTTTCCAGTCTATGGAGAGATAGACGTTACGCTCGTGCACATGGTCGCAAAAACTCGTGTAGCGCAGCTCGAAATGTTCACAGAGCGACGCCCTCTGGTATAACGAGACATGAAGGTCCCTTCCTTCGACTGCTGTGCGCGCATCACTGGGCTGCCCTTTTTTTTTTACGCTGCGAAATCAGTCCTGGAACTTTCTCATCACACCTTGTACATAGGGCAGTTTCACGCGACTACTTCCGGTTTGAAATCTTTTGCCCTACGTCCTTTTATGTGAAGAGGCAGTGTTTCGCGGCTCGCCCCAGTTCTTTCTTCTTTCACTTTGAGATTGACTGCGCCAGTCAGAATCGGGAACAGAAGAGAATCGGCAATTGGTACTCAAGTTGTATACGTTGTTGCGACTCGGGGCTTGTCCATGTAGTCGATCTCCGCTGGAGCCATGCGTCGCCCAGGACATCGGGCAGAGTTGGTAGCGAGCCAGGGTGTCTCTTCTCAAACTGTTTATTTACATTCTATGTACAGTTTGCCGTTCGGCATGAGAGCAACGTGAGAACACACCGAGAGCGCGTAAAACCACTCTTTTTATAAGGTCCCCCTTCTCTACGTCTCTAGGCCAGGACGCCGTCCCCCAACTGGTCAGGCCCCGCCCACTAGCACGCACAAGCACACAGTGTAGTAGCGGCCGGACATCACATCCCGGCGCCGAGTCACTCCCGCCCTCGAATGCCGCGCCGAGGAGGCGACGCTGGCCGAGGTGGTGCCGATCTCTCCATTAGGCGGCTTTGTGGCACGAAAAGGGTTGGGCCGGAACAACTGCAAGTGGCGTCCGAAGATGATCCGTGCTGAATACACCCTCACGGAGGTCCCGCAGCTGGCGCACCGTCATCCGGAATCTTCGCACAGTAATCCCCCCGGTTCCTGCGTCGGGTGACCCCGTTTCGGGCCCGCGTAATCTCCGCCAGAAGTAAGGGTCCGGCTCAGCTTCGCGCCTAGGTGTGGCGACATCAACGCGGTGGTCCTCCGTCGAAAACCATCCCTTTGTCGCCTCTCGCTTCGTTTCCGGGCTCAACTGACCGGAACCATATCATATGGCGACGATACTCAAGGGGGTTCCCCAGTGCCAGGTGTTTTAGATCGAGAGGGTCTGGTCCGGGGGCCGTTCATAACAACGTATCAGTAGCCTTTATTTGGACGATTTTGCGATCGAGAAGTTGACCTGCCAACGGCCGAAATGGCCCCGGTGAATGACGCAGAGGCGACTCGGAAGTAAGTGTGGGTTTATGCGGCCCAGATACGTCCCCTGTCGTACTTACTGGGTTGTCGCGGAGTCACTCGCCATGCCTCTGTTTCACCAACACCGAAAACCGACGCGAATAACCGGATGTCTGGAAGCGAACAGATAGGGAAAGTGGTGGACGCTGTTCATCAATGCGACGGAATGCGGCTTAACGGAATCGAGAAGGTGTTTTGCGAGGCCACCCTATAAATTAAAAATGTCAACTCTACTCTGTTCCCCCCCAAGATGATAGTGTGGTGGGAGGTAGGCTCTCGCCGGACCAGCCAACCGCCTTCTTTTCATAACTTACCCCTTTCTACGCATCAATATGGGCGGGAGCGTGATCACGTGACATACGATGAACGTACGAGTGGTCCAACGAGCACATGGCTTCCGCCACACTGTCAGCTTAGGAGTGGAGAGAGTATAGCTACCTTTTTTATTTTTATTTTTTTTTATTTGATGTCACCCAATATATTTTTGGCTGTCCCTTTGGACGTCTTTTGGGCTGGACATTCCCATAGGACCATTTCAAAAGTTAATCGAGCAGCGTTGGCGGTCGCCATTGCTTGGGTGCCAATCGCTGAACGTTGACACAGCACTCGTGTCCAATACATGTTTGGAGTACATGCCCAAACAATGGCCGACTCAGATGATCGGCGCTGCAGCTACTAGATAGAAAAAAAGAAAAAAAAAAGGGTCTGATAACGCTTCTTTCGTCACGCCAGACTTTGGAGGAGACGGATGAACCGGCAGCCGGCAGCGATGCCCCTCAAGCAGGCGAGACGCTGTCCGCGGAGAGCGTGGCCAGCGGTGTAGCGCTGGTGGACCCCCTGGAAGGTCCGTCGAAACCCAGCAAGGCTCGCAGTGTGCCTCGGATCTTCCTCTCGACTGCAACAAGCCAGCCTGAAGTGGAGATCCACCCGGATGCACCCCCAGCGGCCCCAAAGCCCAAGTCTTCGGATACTTCATTGGCAGAAAAGCCGCTGAAGTCGTCCCTGAAGAAGCCTTCGATGACGCCCGATGATCAGCCACTGGGGAGCTATGGGTAAGGCCGTGTTTTGTTACTCCACTATGCTGAACTGAACCGACGTGGGCTGATCCGTCCTGCAGGCTGGATCAGGCCACGCCGCGGATACGCCATAGTTTAGGGAAATCGCGCGTGGGTAGGCCTTTTGTTAATGTTTAGTTTGTACAAAAAGAAACGGTATTGCAATAGCAATTTGTAGACACGTATTTGAAACCTTCATGTAGCAATGCGAATATCAGTGTGTACAATTTTTTTGGATACTCAAGTTATATTGAACATTTTTTAAAGATGGATTTGTTGTTTCATTGAGTTCGCTTCCCAAGTAACACTAAAATATTGTAGCGAAGCTACACTAACATTGACAATTTCGCTAAAGCCGCTTTGCCGCAGCGCAGCTCCGAACGAAAAGAGATATAAATGTGCCTGCACATTTTGAGAAAGAAGTTTAATTTTTTTTATAGATGTAGATTGTATCGCAAAAACTGCATCGCCGCTGTTATGAGCTTGTATTGGAAACACTATATTAATTAAATTCCCCCAAAACACTGCCATTTGCCACGTAAAGAAAATATATATATATATATATATATATATATATATATATATATATATATATATATATATATATATATCGATGTTTATTATTTGTTTGCATTATATTTTTTAAACTTCATGCAAATTGCCTTAGTGTAGAATAATTTGAATATTCCTTTCTGTTGTTCTACTTTCGCTGTACTTTTTCCTTTGGTTTTTACCAGCCTTTTGTAGCATTTGTACATATTGTATTTCTTACATCCAGTTGTAAGCAATTTTGTGTATCTTGGCAATTGTGAGCTTTTTAAATACTAGATAAAATCACACTTTAACAAAGAAGAGTGGATTTTTTTATGTTCTTAAAAAAAAGAAATAAATAAGGACTCTTTCTACAACGTTGCACCATTTGATCTGGTAAATAGGGGTGTTTTCATCTCAATTCAAGCACGGTTTTGAGGTCGAAGATTTAATTTTGACAAAAGAATTTGATGTGTTGGGACCATTCTTGAAATGAAGGAGAGCGCAAACGGCAAGCTCGTCGGATTTTTTGTTCCAAGTTATTGAGCTTTGAGGCGGCCAAGGTGAAAACTGATGTGTCCTGTGGGGTAGCACGTTTGACCGCTAGCTATTTTGTCACTTCTCACACAACTGCACTAGCACTCTTCTGCAACACTCTCGAAATAAATTTAATTATGCCTAATAAAATTTAAATGTTTTAAAGTAATTACAAAAAAGAAAATCGAACTGTGTGTCTTTGATGATTTTTTTTGTGCAAAGTTTGGCAAGTTCTTACGTGTGACCTATCACCGCGGGCCACCGCCCCGGGTGCCGCTGACCCTAGTGATGCCACTGCTCGAACGGCTCGGTTATAACGCATTGACGCCACCAAAAAGCCAGCAACGGCAAAGCTCATAACCACGCCAGCCTTGCTACGTCACAAAAGCTACGATTTTTTTTTTTTTTTGCGAGTCAGATATTTGGACACATTGCGCTCTCCGTTTACTTCTCTTCGAGCGCTTGCTTGAGTGCACTGTTGGTAACGAAAAATAAAGTCAGTCGTTCAAAATACAAATGTGCTATTATCATCTACAGTTATTATCCGTCATGCTTGTCTCATTTGCGAACGAAATTTGTAGATTCTGTAGCAAATCATTGCTTGGGTGGTCCTCAGACACCTTAGAGTTAAATGGATACTGTTTCAAGACATGAAAAACAACAGGCACAATATTATTTTATGAATCAGTCTTTCATTTAATATTATTTAATCACGGCCAGTACCTGGATCATGAAATGGACCTGTATGATAACATACCCAACAAAGTGCAAGCTTCCCATCAGCATTACTTCCTAGAATGGGATACTTCAACGAAATTTGAAATATACCTGTCGTGTTCACAAATAGGCTGAATATGATCCACAATATCTGTAAATGACAATCGCACGTTTGTATTTTGAGCGTGATGGCTGTATTTTTCGTTATAAACGGCCAGCGCTCGGAGAGCAGCCAGTGGAGAGCACGTCACATCCGCCGCAATCGTGACGGAGTTTGTCTCGGGACCTTACGTCCGGGACGCAGTGGATGCTGCGAGCTATCCCAGCCAATCCCGCCCTGCGGACGTAGCCCGTGATACGCTTTCCACGCGTCGCTGTTCCCCCTCCAAGGTCACGTGACATACACACGGCCTTGGATAGGCCCCGATGGCTCGTAGCATCCGCTGAATGCAGCAGAAGCACACCAGCGATCGGGCCACCGCAAGTAACCCCAAAGCTGTCTTTGTACAAATTTTGAGTGAAGGGTTAATCTTGTATAATCTTGTAGAGGGACAATAGCGACTTCTGGGACAAAGTTTCGGAGAGAGGGGAGTTCTCCTTCAGGCTTTTCTGTCATCGTGGCCGGAGGCGAGACAGTTATTGTCACTACCTATCAAGGTTCCTAGACGGGCATTACAAACGAAGCGTTAGCGACATCCATCAGGTGCTCTTTGGTAATTGTTTAATTCGTTTTAAAATTCTTTTTTCTGCAAGAGATTGGTGTGTCTGATGTGAGAATGGTTATTGAACACGAAAAAGCAACATGGTTACACGGCCATAACGCAGAAAATTTGCTAGAGAAAAAACAATGAAGAAACTAGCAAAACAAAACAAAGAGTAATCACAACATGCTACAAAAGCCCCAAACTAGTAAAATCACAGTTCTTGCAAAAGTGCTCCCGCCGTGGGCTTGGCGCGCGAGACACGGCACTGCATGGACTCGAAAGAGCAACACGGCCGCGGTGGACAAGTTTGATAACGACAAAAACTAACTAAAACGCACAGAAAAAATATTCCTACAGCGCTTCAAAAGCACCAAAGTATAGGAATAACGCCTAGTTTCGCCCCAAAAAACCTTTTAAAGATGTAAAATTCTGCTAAACCACGCTGAAAGATCCGGCCAGACAGCACCTCATACCTACATGGGATAAAAAGAGACCTCGAGAATGGCGACCGTGGTGGCCGATGTTAGCGCACCTAGCGAGTGACGTCAAGTGAATGTTGCCTATAGAATTCCGTACGACAGAGAAAGACTCCAGTTTCGACCTAATAATGAAAATTACAACCGCATTATGCAGGCGAGACATAGAAAACTCGCGTGTAATTCTAGAAATAATACTCGACGTACGGAAGGAGGCATTGACATTGACAGTGCTATTGACATGTGTACCAGTGTGTACTGAATGACAAAGGGTGTATCTAACACAAAGATCACGGGTGCACTCAACTCTTTTCAACCCAATTTGATAACAGAAATTAATAGGCTTTAGCTTCCTAGAGAAAGATATAACATCAGTCTTGGATTAAGTGTGATCATGTTGAGACTACACTAATCACGTACTGATTTGACATCATGCATCCACAAGTTTCATAGAGTCCTCCGCAAATAAGATCTGCCTGAATAGCTTAATATCATTGGCGTATTGACGGATTTCTGAGTGCCTAACACATGAGCTGAGTTCATTTATGAAACCGTTAAACACAATCGGTTTAAGTATGAGCCCTTGGGGAACACTAGAGAGGGTAACCAGCCGGAAGAGATGTCCGAGGACATGTACAAAGTTGTGTCTATTGGTCAAATAATCGTGAACCAATGTGCAAAGTAGAGTACTCATGCTGCACGAGTTCAGTTTTTGATCAACCAAATCAAATGTCTTAGACAGATAAAAATACAGTGCCAACCTGGCCGCGATGACACCCAGTAGGCGAAACAAAATTAAAAGTAGACACGAGTTTCCACTGATCTTCCTCGCAGAAAACCAGGTTGGGGGGGAATTTTATGTTTAAAAAAGATATAATCATGTTCTAACCTATTTCATAGACTTTTGCGAATGGATGTAACGAGGTGGGTCTGATGTTTTGGATCATCTGCTCTTCCTTCCTTATGTATCGGCACAGTTTTGGAGTTTTTCCAAATCGAGGAAAAAGTGCAGGTTGATAACGATAGGTTAAGAATATATGCGTTGAACTGGGCGTGAAAATAATAGAAGAGATGGAAGGGAAAATAGATAATATATATCAGAGGTCTTTATGGCTGAGGGGCCAGATTAGGCGTCTGTCACAGCCTCGAGGGCCAGGAAATAAACAAGTGAATATAAATGCGAGTAAAATACTAAATGAATAGACAAATGCATTTTAATATAGAAATTCAAAGTATATACTTTGAATTTCTGTATTAAAATGCATTTGTCTGTTCATTAGTAAAATAAAAGTTAATTCAAGTTATAATAATAAAAACCTACATGTGAATAACATGACTTGCAAGTATAATTTATATATAGTATAGTATAATATAATTATAGTATATAGTATAATTTAATATTTAGCTAATTATGAAATATAATAATTGCAGCCTAAAAACCTGACCGGGCATAAATCAAGGCACTTAGGAAAGTTGGCATATTTGCAAATGGCAGAACACTAACGAAAAGGATAGGAATTATTACAGCAATACACCAAACATATCACAAAGCAAAACTCAAAATAATTTTAACGTAAACACATTGACAAATCAGGGGACTAAGAATGAAGATGCCAGTGATGACAATGTGCAATACATGTTACACAAAACAGCGGGATAAAAAGTCAGAGCGAATACGAAGGTAGGCGTTGTAGCGCCTTCTCTTTGTACACTCTTCTTTTTTGCGCCGGTAGCAGCGGGCCTGCTGGAAGCAGGCCGCGGCCCGGGGCGTCAGTGCAAAGATTGCGGCCAGCCGCGGGCTGGATCTAGCCCACGGCCGGGGTTCGGAGACCCCTGCTCTGTATTCAAATTTCATGATTGACGACCACCATACCTTGCTACCAACAAAAAATAAAGCAAATAAAAAATGAGGATTTTTAGAAAATCGATTTCGAATTTGTTAGGTTTTTGAAACATTCGCCCGTCAAATTAACGGATTTTATTTGTACATATGATATTGAATTTGTATGTAATGAAAATAGCTAAGTTTGAGCTCACTGGCGTAAGAAGTTGCCAAACTTTGCCAAATATCATGAAAGGGAGATAGTTCCACAAGCGGTTACTTTAGCGCACCACCGCGCTTTCAAAATTATTCTAATATGAAAGATTTTTTTTCTTACTTTATTAAGCGTAATGAAGTTTATTTTGAGATTATTGCGGAATATTTGGCGAGCAGCCAAACATCCGATCCTCGAAAGGTGAAAGAAACGTTAGTTTTCGCCTCAGCCGCTTCATTAATCAAAAACTTAAAAAAAAAAAAAAAAAAAAAAAATCTGCCAAGTTTATTGTTGTTTGCGGTGTGTTAGAATGGTCCCAAAACATTTCTATCTTGTCAAAACTAAAATTTTCACTCCAAACCCGTTCCTGAGGCGAGATGAAAACATCCATGTACATAGCTGTTTCTTTTAAATAAAGGGTAGCAGAAGTGTGGTTTATTATTACACAAAAATTACAATTTAATTGTTATCCTGTTTAGCATGCTCCTCTATCTACAGTGTGTATTTTTAGGCTGTACAAACAGTTAAAAAAGTGATGTGAAAACTACACCAATCGGTCTGTGCGAGCGAGTTATGCAGCCAGGGTGGCATAGTACATGGCTAGTTAACAAGATGTTAACTTTGTAATTAGTAAAAATAATCATGGTTCTAACAAAAAAAAAAAGAAAAAATAAATTGCTGAGCGTCGTCGAAAACCCGAAATCAAAAAAAAGTTTAAGAGACTACGAGTGCGCGGGAAGCGCGGTGTTGTGCTCAAGTTCCCACTCGTGCATCAGGCGCAAGGCTGGCGGTCCGAAAAGGCGCCCGCGGCCCCGCGCAGTTTCTTCGCATCTGAGTTTTCGCACCTGGAGCCTTGCACCTGCCCCACCAGCGGTTACTTTAGCGCACCACCGCGCTTCCCACGCGCTCCAAGTCTTTCTATAAAGTTTACTGTTCTAATGGTTATCAATGGCGCTCAGCAAGATTCCACTTGGAGCCATATGTTTATTTTTACTTGCAGCAAACCTGCGCAGGAATGAGAATGAAAGTGAAACAATTATATTGGTCTGTACTAGTATTCAAAGGAATGGAAGAGAAGAAAATGGTGCAAACATGTATTTCACGGTGTCTCTACTCGCCCTCAGTAATATTCGCTCTTCGACCACGCTGGCCTCGTGCAATGTCGGTGATGTCGGGAAGCTAAATGTCTCGAGGAAAAATCGTAAAATGGTGGTATGGCGGCTGCTGTGATGAGACAGAACCGAGGCCGCATGCGAGGCCTGATGAGATTACTTGATTACCATCTCGGCGAGTGTCTTCATGCCGTGACACTATCGCCGCTCCAGTCTCCCTCCACCGCCTCGCAGGGTCGTGCGTGGGTTGAGCTTCACCGCTTCGCATCAGGGTTCGAGGAGCAGTGGCTGCCGTGGGGGAAACAGCTGGGGTAGCGCGATGAGCCTGCAAATGATGCTCAATATTTGACTAGAGGTCGAAATTCTTTGGTCTTGATTGAAGGTCGATCTCTAGTTTTCAAGAGGGATGCTGAGAAATAAAGAAACAAAATCTCAGACGTATTTTTGAATTAATATGGTAGTCAAGGTAATTCTCCTGTACCAGTCGATCGAAAGGGCACCAAGCTGTGTCTCAACTGTACCTCCAATGCTGCCAACTCTTAAAAGCACGACTATAATTTTTGGTAATATTTGAGGGTGGTGATTTTTGCTGCTTATCATATTAGAATCTTGTGTTTGGTAGGTTCATTAAACTTGGTGTAACATATTTTCATCAATCAATGTTTTAGCAGATGCACTAGCTTTTGCCAGAATTTTACACGAATTGCATTGAAGGCTACATAAACTATGAATGTAAAAGGGGAAGTGTGAGAGACACTTTATCTCGGCTGAAGTGTCTTGCAACAATTAATTTTTCTGCTATTTTTTTTAATCCTTATTGTAAATGGAACCTACTCTGACCTGAGCCTTATTTCTAAAAATAAAGTTGCATGTCCATTTGGGTACTTTTTATGATTATTTTTATGTAACATTATTACAAAAGGTAAAAAGTAATGGGCTTCAATGTCAATGATGAACTTTCAATTATCAAAGATGGACTCATTTAGCTATGCAAATTATGCAGTCATAGTTTAATTTTTAAGTAACATGCCAGCATATGTTGGCACCTGCTTCAAAAGGATCAATGGCTGCTCCAAACCAAAATTCTGCCTGCTACAAAGTTTATTACAACCAGTAAAATGCCGCTTCCATCACTCTACGAGCAGCTTGGAGAGTGATTTGTGATGACGAGGGTCTATGCTCCTGTAGCTCACTCCTTCTTTCAGGTGGCATGCCATAAGACCCCCCCCAGCCAGCAGTAAAAGCAACTGGATAGTGGACCTATGCTTTTCTTTATTTCAGCATATATTCAGTTACTTGGATCAGAGCAATGACTAAACACCTTTGTGTCTTATTATTGGAAGAATAGTTTAGTGTCATTCATAACTTCAACACTTGCTAAGTTCGATTTACCTACACCTCCTGCCTCAGCTGCACCGGATGCACACCGTTGTATTCAATTTACAAGTGCAGCCTATCTTAAAACACGAACCGGAAGTACACTGCCTCTCGCTTTTTTTTGCACCGGTTTATTAGGTTGGTGCAGATAAATAGAACAAGCCCAGAGCAATAGAGCGAGCTGGATGTTGTGGCTTTTTTCCTAGTACTGTTGAAAGCTATGAATGATGCAGCGCTTTTTGATTGAAAGGACTATTCAATAGTCCACGATGTATAACTGCGAAACCATTCCACGATAGTTCCAAAGGGAACTAGCAGTATTTCTAGGTGTACCCCAGTTCGTTGCACATGCAGTCCCCAAATGTGGAAGCCCTCTCGTTGCGCCCCCAGTTTCTTCCCGAACATCGATACCCGCACGGCTGAGTACGGGAAGCAGTGCACCGATGCTCCGCTGTCGTCGACGGTGCGAGAGTCGTCCCTGGAGCCCAACGAAGGGGAGGGAGGGCAGCACAAGGTGGCCTTTATCCTCGGTGGGTGCCCCTGCATTTGCCAGAAAAGCTAAAGGACTGTTGCTGAGGCTTTAAGTGGCTCTGGTGTTGTCCAGATGGAGCAGTCGAAATCTAAAATGTAAACGAAACGTACGAGTCTGCATGTCCTGCTAGTTGCTGTGGTCACTGACAAGGTGAGAAGGGCAGGGAGGAGCTTCAGTTGTCCCGCCTCCAGCGCGAGCTTCCTACCATCGACAACACTTTGTAATTTCGTGCACCTCGTGGCCAAAGCATGGTGCAGGGCATGGAGCTGAGGGTGCTGGGGGCCAGCCTTTCGAAAGGCCTACCCTGCCATTCTTATTCTGTCAGTGACTACGATTGCCTTTTCTCTTGTGTCGGAAAAGTTGCGGATGCACCCTGCATTTCAGCTTGCGGGTATTCAGACTGTTCTGCGCAGTCCTTGAGCAAAAAACGCCTGGAATTTCGTGGATTTAATTGGGTATTTCGTAAATCTCGTCTTCTAAACGGTGCAACGATGGTGGATCTAAAGTGGAATCAGGTGTCTTTTGAAGCTTGTTTCAGACTGACATGCTTATACTTAGGTTTGTGCATTGTGGGAAAGTAAATATCACTGAAAATAGATGGTGTTTTGTAGGGTCGTCCAAATATTAAAATTTTCGAATAGTCTTTTAGAATAAAGCATTATTTGATATTTGCTTCGAGATGAACTGCGATATTCATGCTTTTCTAAGTGTTGATTGCGGCGGGTTAGCCCCGTTGAGTGCGCTTCTCACTGTGCACGTGTGCACTGCGGGGAAGCAATGCACGAGGGATCTGCAGGTATTGCTTCCCCGCAGTGCTCGGTGAGTAGCGCACTCATTGGGGCTAAGCGGCCGCAGTTATGCGGGGGTATGTGTTTGGCAATGATGTCTTGACAACCCTCAATCATCATTCGTGCTTGTTTTTTTTTTTTTTTTTTGTTTGTTAACTTTGAAATTGAAGAAAGGATATTTTTATATAGCAAGCAGATTTATATACCCCCTCTATTAGGATATATATGACAAATCTGTTGTGTTCGTGCTGCAGTTCATAAATAGAATTATATTAAATAACTGAGCTTAGAAGTGGGCAAGGGGAAGGTTGGCAACAACCTTCATGAGTTCAGTTGAATTTTAATTTAAGCGTTGTGCACTCCAGTGAAAGGCTTTGAGAAGCTATTCTTTGTTCAATTCGGAAATATTTGGCCAAGACAATTTTTCACGTTGAATTCGCTTCACTCAAAATTCACTAATCGCACATGCCCGGCTTTATGCCAATCACTGCCAGTCATGTGCATCAGTATATTGAAATTATACTCTCAGTGTTGCCAGATGGTGAAATTTGCCTCCAGACTTTAAACCTGGTGAATTCTTGAGCCTCTGGTGTCCTGGTTAGTGACCCTTTTCCTGCACGAGACAAAATCTGGGGAGAAATGCTTAATTAATACTGAACAACTGAAAGTGCCGCCTGTACAGCATTAAAGTAGCCAGTGCTTGGTGGCATAGGGCCACCGCTCGATTCAAGTAGAGCCCGAAAGCCACACATTGGAGAAGCCATATGAAGAAAAATGGTTTACAGAAAAGCAACCCATCAGGGAGTAGGTAATGGTAGCCCGCCAACTGGCAGATGGCTTTCCCACTGGCTTAATGGTGACCATACTTTTCTGTGTGCTTTTTTTGATCATTTATTTATTTTTTTAAACATACATATACACATTTCAAGTGCAAGAAAGAATGTTCTTTTTCTGTGACAACCAAATTTTGTCAAAACTATTTCCTGCAATGGATGAGCTATGCACAAAGCTTGTCTCTTTCTCTTGCGATGACACTGCTACCAACACGGTGACATCCGCCCTCCACCGGTCCATTTCGTTTCATTCTAGCTTCACGTATCCAAGCACAGTGCCTGTGTACCTGAAAAGGATTGAGTTAATGAAAGTTCTTACATGTGTAATCTGAATATGAATGCTTGATCTCTTTTAGGATTTTTTTAATGTAAATTTCAATGTCTGCTGAAATCTGGTAAAATTTCAATGAGAGTATGATGTCACTACCACTTTGCTACCTGGCAATGCTGCTCAAATTGTAAAAAGAAGTTAGTTTTCACTTCATGATAAAGAAAGTGCAAAAAGGTCTTGCATCTCCATTTATGTCATGTCATTATGTATCAACTCTTTACATATGTGTATAGCAAATTAAACATCATAGACAGGTGTGTACAATTGTTGCAGATAGTCCCAATTATGCAACTACAACTGCATTCTCTCCTAAACTATTTCTATAATTGCGTAAGGCTTTTCAGTTTCATTGTGCACATTATACAGTCAATACTTTCTTTGGTTTTGTCGAGACCTACCTTTCAGCGAGAGCAAAATGTGATGAAGCTTGCAGGGTGCGAGATTCAAGGTATAGCCGTTACGTTTCAGGCTCTGACTCGACTGAGGAGGCTTCACCGCCGCAGCCCACGGTGCCTGAAGGAGCTCCTGTTTCTTCGTCAAAAGGAGCACAACTGCACAGAGCAAAGGACAGGTACATGGTTACTGTTGTAGCTTTGGTCTCTCCACAAGTGTCTTTTGAAGCAGTGTAAACAAGTAAATTAAATTATAATGCTTATAATGTGCTTCTCACATTAGATCTGGATGCATTATCCCCTTATTGTGCATCCAATATGAGTTTTCATGTACTGCTTTGATGTTATAAAAAAAGAAACGGACATAGGAAAGGTTGGTTGGGGTCAAACTTGAACAACCTACATGCAGAGCAGTATTGAAGTCCAAGATAAGAAATATGCATACGTAAGTGTTCAGGGTGTAAGCAGAGAAAAGAAACGTGTATTTTTCGCTCTGCAAAAATTAGCTATACATTAATGATTAGGATGAGGTGGCAGTTTCAGAGTACGAAGTTGCAAGTGAAAAACTGAATTTGCCTTTGAGAGAAGGCTGTCCAAAAGCAGATGTAGTGCGTTTTTCATTGCATCTCTCAGTTACAGTGAAGTGACTTACCGTTGAATACCGCGCATCTGCCCATTTCACAGTAAGCGTCTAGTCGCAAATTTGTAAGAACTGTTAAAATATGCTCAGTACATGTATATGTAAAATCGATGACGAGACAAGCGCCTATCCCCCATTTTTTCATGATTATCTTCAAATTTTTAGTGGGTACTTACCTGGTATTTTCTGGTAAACTGTGGAATAAGTTTCGTATAGCAGGATTTGAGTTCATTCGACAGTGCATGTTTCTGGGGTCAGTAGTTCGCTTTTATTTTATGATATACCCAGAAGTAAAGTCAAATGGTGTTAGCATTGCCGGTATTGCAATATTGTCCTATTCTCAAATAGGAGTGTATGAAACTGGCTCTCTTCCATTTTCCGCAGGCACCACCATCATCATCACAGGCACAAACACCGTAGATATATTTATGACCCGAGTTTGATGATCCTTCACGATGCTGAAGAAAAGCACCGGGTCGTCACGGAGCCCGAGGAAGCCATGACGCTTCAATCTGCTGATCTAGAAGACATGGCAAGTAAGTCACCAGTAATGGCAATTAATTAGGGCTGGACATCAATTCAAAATTTCAACCCGATTAATTGCCACCCTTTAATCGATCAATTAATCGATTAATCGGTCACATTTATTTTTATGCATAATAATTAAGAGGTAATTTTTTTTTTTCTTTTTTTGCTTTTGTTGAATATTTGATAAACGGCACATTATACAATTTTAAATAAGAATCAACTTCGATATGTAGTTGAGAACAGTTCAAAGATGCTCACTCACAGATGCTGCAGCCTCTCGCACTTCAGCTGCATGAGGCAAACGGGTTCATTGATATTTTCCGGCATGAGCAACCTCCGTTTATTGTTTGCAATAGTCTCTGCTGCTCTAAACGGACGCTCGCACAACGTTGAAGTGGCCAAGATCTGTGCAACTTTCTGCTCCTGTCTGGAGTTACAAATCTTGCCCCTACAGATTAGCTTAGGTTAAAATATTACCTGAAATTTGCCCGTTATACAGGTGTTCTCGTCCACGTCTGCGTGCTGAATGCATTTAATTTTTACTTTCTTTTGGTTCGTCAAAATTTTACCGATTAACCGGTTGAAAAAATTGTGGTTAAAACATTAATTGATTAGTAGGTAGGTTAATAGATTAGTTGCTCAGCCCTACCATTAATGTAATTAAATCTATCCTTTCAGTTGTAATGTGAGGAATTAATTTTTAGATTGTAATATTTTCTGATGCAATGGATTGCTGTGGCAATATGATTGCACAAAATGTATTCTGTTACCTTTACAGTTTTATTGACTAATTGCAAAGCAGGCAGTTTGTAGGAAAATAGTAAAGGCAAAGTGATGACATATAGGATACTATAATAGTAATAACCGTATTTGTAGCAGTAAGAGTAATAATCATTATAATTGTATGTTTATTTTTTCAGAGCCAACAAACAGTTAAACAGCGATCTCTTTGGTGTGCATATTAGTAGGGTGTGCAGAAGTTTAGAGAAAGCACAAAAGTCGTGGAAACTTGTAAGAAAGAGATGGAGGAGTTGCATCCTTGGCAGCTGACATTTAGCAGCAGATGCATTCTGATAGAAAACAAACTTCAAAACTTTTTCAAATTGAGTGTTTTTGCTGAAAGCCGTGTGCCACATTTTTGTTAAGTGTGCTGATTTGGTGGTTTCTGACGATGTCCAGAAGGTTTGACATCACTCGACTCTGGCACCAAGACGTCACGTGACTCTGACTATAGGTGACACTGACCTTGCAGAGGGCCTATAAATGCTATGCTTTTAGAGTGCCCTTGCGACATACCAAAGGGATGGGCAATTTTTGTGTACATGGAGTGCTGTGGTCAGTGGTGAGCGTGCAGTGCCCTTTGCATGTTTAGACACTAACATAGTGTCAGCACCCCAGTCCCATAAAGCCACCAGGCCACTTAGGCGTACAGCAATGATTGGCTCCTCACATTGATCCGGGAATGTCAGTGTGAAGACCCTTTTTTGTAGAAAGCTGACGTCCTTGGTTCGGGCAAAGAGTTTACCTGATGGGAGCCACTGCCTGCAGGCCATAGGTTTGAAGATCCGAAGGGGATGCGGCGCCACAAGATCCTGGCCAAGAACACGGTGCTCTCCTTCCTGCACCCCACGCCAGAGGACTCGCTGGACGTGCCCGCACCAGACTCCGGCAAACGCTACTCGGTCCCCTTCATGAAGAAACTCTACGACCGGAAGCCTCATGAGGTAGGGCTTCGTGCCGCTGCATTAGCACGAGCAGACCGGAATGGGTCTATCTAAAAAAAATACTGAAATCGCCAAACTAAAGAAAACGCAAATCGCCCAAACAATTTTGTTTTTTCAGTTTGAATTTTGGTTTGGTAGTTTTGCATTTCTTTTCAGTTCAGTACTGCTTCGGGCACGTTCACAAAATACTGGTTTGGCTATCGATTGTACCAAGCCTGAACCAGTTCAGACCGGTTAAAACTGTTTTAAACCGGTTCATAACTCTACCTTCGGTCATGGCCACCCATGCACTTCTCATGGTTTTTTCGTCTTTTTTTTGAGCATGCGATACTGCACTAGCCCTACATAAAGATGAGGTCTAATGTCTTCATCATTCCGAATTAACATGACAGAAGTCACTTATAACGAAGTTTCTATGTTTTTGATAAATACCGATAAACCCCAGAGCTGGTTTTATCAAAATTGGGGAAAACCGAAAAACCCAGAAATTGAACTGCCCTTGAATAATAAGAGCCCAAGCTTCTTGGGAAGACAATCATTATGTACAGCTTTATTTTGTCTTGACCCGGATGACTTCACCCACTGAACTGTATGTGAGGCTATTCCTCTCTTCAAAACCACAACTGTGGTCTTTATGGCTTATCTGATATCTACCGGGCCGTTTTCCAAGTATTCAAGTCACGCACATGTCCCCCAGGGTTGGGGAATCTTATGGCAGTGTCCCACTTCCTTCAACATAAGCCCCGACAAATGACAATTTTTTCTTTCACACCACAAATAGATGGCAAAAAACACTGAATCCGCGGGAAAAATAGACCCAGAAAAAAACTCTCACAAATTTGAAGAAAAATAAATCCACAAAGCACGAAACCTTATACTCCATTTCATACTTAATATACAAGGGTGTCAAAGGTGCTGGTTCGAGCATGGGGCTTGATCTCGCATCATTTGCACGCATTCTCGCGCAAACGAAACCATAGTTGAAGCCATGCACTCGCGCCAGTAGCTTCGACAGCGTTGTATTAAGTATGAAACAGAGTATAGTTATACAACTTTTTACTTTCCAAGTCTGAGTTGCGCTAGGTTGCCTAACATGTTGTGCACACTGTTCATCTGACGGTGCCGGTTCCATTTTTTTCCAACACACTAAGACGTTTTCCCACTTCACATGCAAATGTTTGGATGCATGCCACATATTTTCTTGTCATTGAAAAATTGAGGTTCCATAAAAAGAAACAAATGTGGCTAGAAGTCTAGCAGTTCATCTGAGAGATGTGCACGTGTATGCAGTTATTCTTTACAAAACTAAGATCTCTAAAATTATTAAAAAAAAAAAAAAATGGAATGTCAGTGAATCGGGAAATGGAAACAGTGCCTGTCACAACTACGGAGAAATTGTCTCTAGGATCACTAAACTTTGTACAGTGTATACGTAGAGGTGTATCCATTGAAACTCCAGCCTCATTTCTCGCCTAGCTAAGCCAGCATTATCTTCTCCAATTCAATTCACACATGACCATCCTCTTTGTGTGTTTTGCATCGGGTTGCCATTGTGATAGCGCATATAAATTCTTCTGTTGGTGTTTCCTTTTTGCGCATTTTGCATTTGGTCCAGGGACTGCAATGTCTTAATGTTCATCATTGGGACCCTATGCGAAGCATAAGGTTTTTTAAATCATCCCAGTATCAACATGCAACTGTGTGACGTAGTGGTGGTTTTGTGTGGAAGTTTTATCTCGCAACATCCTGATGTGTATCACTCATAACTAGGGTTTTGTGTTTCTGGATAAATTTTATGAACTCCAAAAAACAATCGCCAGTTTGATTTTTGAGAATTGGGAATTGTTTCGTTTTACGTTCTTTTACGAAGGGCACACATGGACAACCTTTCGTGCCGGAGTCTGGCTGAAGACTGACGTCTCGTTTATTAAATCTAAAACGAAACAAAAGAAAGGCGCCTCTGGTACGGGGCGCTCAGGTTACGCGCGAAGCGGACGAACGGATGTTTAGATCTCGGGCTGCGCGCGAACGTTCTTCTCGGTCGCCTTGGACTTTGGAGCTCGCTAGCGTCGGCGCGTCGGCGACCTCCATAACATCCCTCTTTCTAAGGGAGCTTCGAAGAAGTGCCGAAACGGTCTGGCTCTTTTACACACCGGCCGTGCCGAGAATGTTTGTGGGAGGTGTCGGCACACATTTCTTCGGGCCTCGTGGTTGTTTCGGGGAACTCTTCGATGCCTTGTTTATCTTGTTGATCGGGGAAAGGAATTAAATGCGTGCGATTTCTTCGGATCTCTTGACCCTCGGACGTTATCCAGTAAGATCGTGGTGTATGGGCCTTGTTCTGAACAACTCCGGTTCGCTTGAGGTCAATGACCCAAACTCGCTGTCCAGAGCCGAGTGGATCGAGTTGACGCACTCCGTGTCGCCGGTCGAAGTATTGCTTTTGTCGGTTCCTGTTTTCTTGCTCATAGCGACGCAGTTCTTTTTGGTCGGGTAGCTTTGGTTCCAGGAGCTGAGTGGCGATCGGTACGGTTGTACGCATCCTTCTCCCCATGAGAAGTTCTGTCGGACTGTATCCGTTGGGCAGAGGCGTTGAACGGTAGATCATGAGTGTCTCGTACGGATCTTCCGTTTTGCTGAGTGATCTCTTTATGATCTTCACCGCAGCCTCCGCCATCCCATTGCTCTGCGCGTAGCGAGGGCTTGATGTGATGTGCTTAAATCCGTAGGTTTGTGAGAACTTGGTGAATGCTGAACCTGTGGTTCCCGCAAACTGAGGACCATTATCAGATACCACTACTTCTGGGATGCCATGCCTCGCAAATATCGATTTGCAGTGCATTATTACGCACGCTGCTGTGAGGCTTTCCAGTCGGGCGATTTCCGGGTAGCGAGAGTAGTAGTCGACGACGACCAGCCACCATTTCCCGTGAATGAAGAAGAGGTCCATCGCCACTCTCTCCCACGGTCGACTAGGAAACTCTTAACGGGATGAGGGGGTGCTTTCGGTTCTGGCCAGTTTTAATGCATTTTTCGCAGTTCTTGACCAGGCGCTCGATATGATCGTTTATCCTCGGCCACCACACCGATACATTTGCCCGTGCTTTGCCTTTTCCTATGCCCATGTGTCCTTCATGAAGTTGTTGCAGGATATGTGGACGGCAGGATTCTGGTACCACTATTCTAGAACCATTCATGAGAAGGCTGTTTTGCACGGCAATGTGATGACGGTACTCGTAGTACTCTTTGAGGTCTGTTCCGAGATCTCGACGATTTGGCCAACCTTTATGGCTGTAGCTGGCGAGTCTTTGGCAAACATGGTCTTTCTCCTGTTCTGCCGTTATCCATTCGAGACTCGTTTGCGTTGCTGGTAGGGACGTCTCTATGTGTCGAATGAAGCAATCGATTTCTTCTTGCATCTCTCTGTCTTGCCGCTGTGGCAGAGGGCTTCTTGACAACGAGTCAGCTGCTTGGAGTTCCTTGCCCGGAACGTGCACAACTTCGAATGAGTAGCGCATTAAACGCATGCGCAGTCTCTGAAGCCGTGGAGTTAGGTCGTCCAATGACTTTGATCCAAACAGAGAAATGAGTGGTTTGTGGTCGGTTTCCAGTACAAAGTGCGTTCCCACGATGTAATCTCGGAATTTTTCGCATGCCCACGTGAGTGCCAAACCTTCTTTTTCGATTTGGGCGTACCTCTTCTCTGTTTCGGTGAGTGTTCTGGACGCATAGGCGATGACACGATATGATCCATCCTCCTGCTCTTGACGCAGTACTGCTCCCAGGCCGTAGGATGACGCATCTGCAGATACAATCGATCGCTTGTTGGCGTCGTAAATTCCAAGAACGGGGCAGGTTGAGAGAATTTCTTTCCATTTTGCGAAGGCTTTCTGCTGAGGATGATCCCACACGAAGTCCACTTTGGAACTGAGCAGTGACGATAGTGGATGCAGAAGGTCAGACAGGTGTGGCACGAATCGTCCTAGGTATGTCGCCATACCCATGATGCGCTTGACTTCTTGCTTTGAAGTCGGTATGGGCATCTGTTTCACTGCGTTGACGATTGTCTCGTCTGGACGGACACCATCGCTGTCTACTTGATGACCTAGGAACTTGATACTTGTCACTCGAAGGACGGATTTATCCTCGTTGAGCGTGAGTCCTACTGATGAGAGTCGCCTGAGGACTTCTCGCAGACGTTGCTCGTGCTGCTCGGACGATGACGCCCATATCAAGATATCGTCCATGTGGCAAAGTACTCCTTCCATTCCTTGGAGAAGTTGTGTGATACGTCTCTGGAAGTGTTCCGGTGCTGACGTGATTCCGAATGGTAGGCGATTAAAACAAAATCTTCCAAACGGAGTGATGAATGTCGTCAGGAGTCGTGACTTCTCTTCTAGGGGGATCTGCCAAAACCCAGAATTCGCGTCCAGCTTTGAGAAGATCTTGGCTCCCGCTAGCCTTCCCAGCGTGTGCTCCACTGATGGGATAGGGTGATATTCGCGCTGAATGTGTTTGTTCAGTTGTGTGAGATCAACACAAATGCGAATTTTGCCAGACGGTTTGGGGACGATGACCATCGGCGCGCACCATTCAGTAGGTTCTTCTACTGGAGAGACGACACCTTGCGACTGCATGCTTTCTAGCTCTTTCTGCGTTTCCCGATACAGCGAAAGCGGTACTCTTCTCGGTGATGCGATAGCAAACGGCGTCGCGTTAGGCTTCAGCTTGAGAATGTGAGCACCTTCGAGAGATCCCAGTCCTTGAAACAGGTGAGAGAACTCTTTCTTCGGTTCGCAAGCTTTGTTCGCAGTCATGCAGATTTGAGGGCAAAGCCGAAATTTTTCGATAGCTGGCTTACCCAAGAGAGGTTTGCGAAGTCCTTTCACGATGTAAACTTCTTCGAGTGCTTGTTGCCCACGGCAGTTGAGCTTCATCCGAGCTAATCCCATGACTTTAAGGGGTCGTCCGTCTGGACCATGAAGTCGGCGTTGGGGCTCGGAGAGCTTGTGGCACTTTGAGAAGACCTTTTGAAAGATGGCAGCTGGTAACACCGTTTCGTCTGCTCCAGTGTCTATTCGGAAAACAACAGGAGTTTCGTCGACGAATATCTCGATGTCCCATTTTGCTGTTTGAGAAGAAGCTGCAACTCCTACGAATCCTTGTTCGTGTACGAGGGAGTTCACGGTAGTTGAAGATTTGCAGACTGTTGCAAAATGTCCCTTTTTCTTACACCTGTTGCAGCCTGCGTTCTTCGCCGGACACACGCTCCTCGGGTGAGCTTCTCGACCACACCAACGGCACGGTTTGCCTTTTGGTTTGGGTGTCGCGGTCTTCTTAGTAGGAGTTCGAACATTTGAACGTTCAATTCCTCGCTGAGCAGGTCCTGCTGCTGTCCCATTTTTGGCTGCTATACGGTCAACGTTGGCATCCTTTTCTTTTGTCGGTCGGAGTTCCACTTGTTGCTTCTTAATCACTTCCGATTGTCGCGCAGCAGCGATGGCCTTCTGGAGGTCCAGATCAGGATCCAGTTGAAGTTTTTCTGAAGTCCTGCTGTCCCGAAGACCAACAATCAGCCTGTCGCGGATCAATTCTTCCTTCAGTGGTCCATAGTTGCACGTAGTGGCTAATCCATGGAGAGCAGTGACGTACTCCTCGACGGTTTCCGTCTCCAGTTGCGATCTTGTGTTGAACATGGCTCTCTCATACACCACGTTTCGACGAGGAATGAAGTAATGTTCGAAGTTCTCCATCACCTTGTCGAAGTCTTGAGCCTCGGTGTCGGACAGCTTGAAGGTCTGTAAGACGTCTTCCGCTTGTGGTCCCATGATGTAAATGAGAGCGTCGACTTGGTGTGATGATGGTTGAGATGCCAGTCCTGATGCACTGTGGAAGCGCTTGAATCTCTTCTTCCACGCCGGCCATTCGTTAGGTGTTGTAAAACTGAAGGCTTCGGGTGGCGAGATGCGAAAAGTTGCCGTTACCGTTTGTTCGGTAGCACCGTTGTCGGCAGAAGTTGAGGGATTGTCCATTGTTTCTTCGTTTGTAGTCGATCCTGCGCTTTACTAATTATTAGCAGACTCGCGGAACGATCCTGCGCTTTACTAATCATTAGCAGACTCGCGGAGCGATCCCACTTCTGACACCATGTTTCGTTTTACGTTCTTTTACGAAGGGCACACATGGACAACCTTTCGTGCCGGAGTCTGGCTGAAGACTGACGTCTCGTTTATTAAATCTAAAACGAAACAAAAGAAAGGCGCCTCTGGTACGGGGCGCTCAGGTTACGCGCGAAGCGGACGAACGGATGTTTAGATCTCGGGCTGCGCGCGAACGTTCTTCTCGGTCGCCTTGGACTTTGGAGCTCGCTAGCGTCGGCGCGTCGGCGACCTCCATAACAGGAATTATCCGGAAAACTCAGAATTTTGAGGTCACAATGGCTAAGTAAAAGGCCAAAAAAGAGAGCATTTTACGAATAAAGTTTGTCGGAGCACAGGGTTAGTGGTCTCGAGAAAAGGCCAATTCAGTTTTTCTTTTTATCTTTGACTATTGACAAGAGGGAGTTTCCCATTTACCTCATCAAGGTTTGTTCAGTGCAATGGGCCAATGCACTTCTGAACCACGACAAAAGTCACTGTTCCCGTTTTTAGTTTGAAAAGTGAAAAATGTGAACCTGTAGTTATAGAATTTGACGGGCAGCTGAAGGTTTATGCATCCAAGGGTTTGGCTATTACAAGTACAGACGTTCATTGAAGTAACATTGCTTTTAAGTTTTGTAGTGGGACAATTAGTACTGCCAATCACGAGGGTGCCAATGTCAGAGGCAGTTGCAGAAATTCGGTACCGGTGATTTTTTTTATGAATTGAGTGTATGTTTTTGTCCATACACTATTCATTTTTATAAAAAAAAATAAGAACTGAGTAAAATTAACTATAAAGTTTGTAGAATCGGGAATCTAACAAAAATAAACTCCAATAGGCCCCAAATTTACAGCAAAAAAAACTTTGAAAACACCGAGTCCTACTCATAACAGAGTAAGCTATGTTGCTCATGAATCGGACATCACGCAAGTGACAAGCAGTGCACATTAGCTCAATTAGGGGCACATTGTAGTCGGAGCCTTTTGCACGATCCAGTGTCTCTAGTCACCCGAAGGGTCTCGAAGTCTCCATCCCTAAAGCAACTTGAAACATCTGACTTAAGCGGGAACTAAGTCTTATAACTATTTTCTTGGTAAAGGTGACTAAATAATACTACTACTGACATTGATGCGAATGCTAAAATTGGCCTTTTGCCACTGCCAATAAAAACGAGTGTAACGTACCAGGTCAGCGCTGTTATCGCTGAACACTCTTCTAGTGAACTGGTGACCGCCACAGAGGGTCAGCGGCACCCAAGGCAACAGCCCGCCGCTACACCCCAACCCCCCCCCCCCCCTTCATACCCCGCTCTCGCATGGCCCACCGCGACTCCCCCCCCCCCCCCCCCCCCTTGCTCTCTCGTGGCTCGTCGCGACACCCCCCTGAGCGCTGCACCCGGGGCGGTCTGCTCCCCCCGCCCCCCCCCCTTGTGACACCACTGCCACCACATGAGGCTGTAGTTCAGTTTTGATTTGGTTTCAGTATCAGTTGTTGGATTTCAGTTTTGTTCCAATTTGGTCAAAAAACAACAGTTTTAATCTGGTCTTTGGTTCTGGTTCACTTTTATGCCGTGGAGAAATGTACTTGTAGTTTTTTTCATATTACTTTTATTTGGATAGGACTTCATACAATAGGTGTTTATGTATGTCCCAATTAAATGTCACTGGTCCATTTGGCCCCAAATGGAACTCGTACAAAACACATGTACAGGGTGCCACCAAAAAGAATTTACAGGGTTTTTTTTTCACCGCAAGAATAAAATAGGCATCGCCGAACACTCATTCTCCGCCCAAAGGTAGCGCTAGAGGTCACAACAAGATGCTAAAGTTTCAGCCCGATCCGATACCTTATTCAAAGGTTATAAGTGATTTTCTGAAAATTTCAATGGGAAAATGGAACCCATTTTTGCCCGTTTTCGGTTTCTGGTGCCATAGAGCCCCATGTATTCGAAAACTCCGTCGGCCGCCATTTTCCCATTGAAATTTTCAGAAAATCACTTATAACTTTTGATTAAGTTATGGGATCGGGCTGAAACTTTGGCATCTGGTTGTGACCTCTAGCGCTACCTTTGGATGGAGAATGAGCGTTCAGTGATGTCTAGTTTATTCTTGCGGTGAAAAAAAAACCTGCAAATTTTTTTTTGTGACACCCTGTATTTGTTTTTCGCAATTTTGGTTATTCTAAAATTGCGTCCTTCCTTAGTGGATATAATTAAAAAAAACGGTTTCCTTGAACGATTAATTTCTGCTTTCGCACATTTTTCTCACTTTCATACGCTGTTAGGAACTAGTGGTGGAAGGACTGGCCAGGGTATGTGCAATATATATGACTTTTATCTATACAAATTCCTATCCCAAATCTTGACACAGTACCTCCTGAATTTATGGTTGACGCCTCTTCCTCATATCTCAGTATGCACCTAAAAAGTGCGGGCAGCGAAGTTTACCCAAGTTCGATGCCAAGCTGTATGAGAAGCATGCAAGTCCGCCCATTTCTGGTGTGGGTTGCACGTTTCTCGCTTGCATGGGGTTTTATGTTGTGGCACGATGCATACACAAGTGGTTGGAGACTGCCTGCTGATTGGTGCCCGTTGCCTCTGGACAGATCTTTGTAGAGCTGGACGAATTGGTGCCGGACGCGACGCGCGAGGCCTATGAGTGGAAGGAGACAGCGCGTTGGATCAAGTATGAAGAGAACCTCGAAGAGGACGTGGATCGTTGGGGCAAGCCCCACGTTGCGTCGCTGTCGTTCCATTCGCTGCTCTGTCTCCGGAAGTGTCTGGAACAGGGCACGGTGTTGCTCGACCTGGAGGAGAAAGACCTGACGGGCATCGCGAACCGTGTCGTGGACAACATGGTTCACACGGAGCAGATCCCAGCCGAGAGTCATGGCTCGGTGCTGCGTGCGCTTCTGCTGCGCCACCGTCACGGTGCCGAGAGGAGTCTCAACACCTTTCTGCGCCGCAACTCCTCCGGCACATTTACGGCACTCAAGTAAGTCGCTTGGATGGTTTCTAACAGGTGTGTGCAAGGAGTAATTTTTGAAACAGTATCAAGTATAAATTGAATAGGGGTGGCACCGAACTAAATGCGAATGGAATAATTTTTTTCATAGTTCGTAGACTGTTCGCATAGCTGCTTGGGTAGACTGTTTGCACAGTTTGCATTGTTTCCTAGAGGTCTTAAGAATGCAATTCTAGGTGAAAATGACGGATTCAACTGTGAGATTAAATGGACGGAACTAAAACAATGTATAAGTTGATGTCTCTATGATTGCTGCGCGCACGAGGCACTTGGATGAACCGTTGCTGGAGTGGTAGAAAATCTTCCACACTCCACTGCACCTCCTTTTTTCTCTAAAGAATTTGTTTTTCCTTGACTCGTGCCGACTGGTGGCACTGCACCAGTTGGTCACAGATTGAAAGACTGAAGCATGCAAGAGCAGTTTTGTGCACATGAGTGTGCTGATACGTGATGTATGCATTGATCCCCCCCCCCCCTATCTCTTTCTTTGAAGGCACAATCCCTTTTATGGTGACAGCCGTTTTTTTTTTGTTTTTTTTTTTTCTTTCATCTGTTTAGTTTTTAAATAAAAATAAATCTGTGTTAGGGTTCTTTTAGCCTCGAGGCTAAGTTGGTGGTCATGGCAGCTACTAAAAAAGAGGCCAAATGGGTTAAGTTAAGTTGGCTAATTAACTGAAAAGTTTCAACGATTTTTTATTTTTATTTTTGGGGGCATAATGTGTTGGAAGAATTGACGCTCTACCTCAATATGTTCTTGCTGTGTTGCGAACGTTTGATAAACAAGTTTCTAGTGTGTGCTACGTGGCAAAAAAAATTCTGAGGACACGTATGCTTTTCTTATGAGCTGTGAATGCGAAAGCATGAATGTCGTCCTTCTGCTCCCTTAGTTTGTCTGCTGCGTACTGGCATGGACGACCACGTTTCGCTACTGCTGAGGTTGCGGCCGACAGCCGAGTGCGCTCTCGTGAAGTGGCTACGCCGTTCTGAGCTCGGCCGTGCGGCCTCTTCGGAGTTTGCCCAGGCGGGCTCTGCTGGCTCGGCGGCCAGCCGCTCCCTCTTACCGGCGGCCGGGCCGCTGCGCCGTTATGGAGAGGGCTTTTCTGGTGGCGTTCTTTGGAACTACGCCGCGCAGCAGCCAATGGGAGCCTATCTATCAGATTGATCCTACAGACGACAGGCTTCGCTCCATTGAGACAGGGCAATTTAAGTGCCGTTCGGCACGGTTTCAAAACTGATAACACCGGTTCACTCTATAAAACAGTTAGTGTACAAGGGTGGCATTAAAAATGTCACCCTCGTACATGGCTTCAAACAGAAACTATGCGGGCAAAGAGCAGCCGGCTTCGCTTGTGGAGCCGGCAGGTGGCAGGGGCATTGACATCACTGGTGCTGTTTGCCGGCTTAGTTTCAATTTGAAGTCGTATAAAAGGCTAATATTTCTCGCCCCCTAACAGCCATTACAAATATTTTAATCAAAATTTCATGGCACGGCTTGACCACCTTGGGGTTGTGCGCCAGTTCTCCAACTATGTTATGCCCCCAAATATGAAAGTTTGGAGAGTTTATTGAAACTTTTTGTAAAGTAGCAGGCATGTGCGAATTGTAGATTTTAGTTCGAAGCAAATAGTGGTCTTTACCGAATATTTTCAAATAGAATATTGAATAGTTTCTCCAAGCATTTCACTACCGTGCACCATGCTGAAACGAAAATTCAGCTCCTGAAGGTTGTTCCTAACCTTCCACTTGTCTACTTTTAAACTCGGTTAATTGTAATATAACTATATTTATAAGCTGTCACATATAAACAGCAAATATGTCACAGCTATCCTAAAATATGTGCTATGTGAAAATATTCTTTCTTCAATTCAAAATTTTTACAAAAAAAAAAAAAAAGCACAAATGATGAATGCAGGTTGTCAAGAGATCTCTGCCTAACCTACTCAATATACACTTGCATAATTGTGGTGGTTTAGCCCCGTTGAGTGTGCTTCTCACCGAGCATCTGTGCACTGAGGGGAAGCAATGCCTGCGAGCTCTGTGGGTATGAGCTGAGAAAGTGAGAGAGAGGAGGAGACGAGCACACGGGGACGTCAGAACGCCGATCTCCGATTGGAATGATTAGTGGGTAGACAGACGTAAAGCTAGCTGCCTTTTCCTTCACTGCAGTCGTTGAACGCGTTAGAATGCGGAACGCCGGCGTCTGGCGTTCCACGTCCTAAAGCATTCGTTAGAATGCTTTAGAACGCGGATGCATCAGTTCAGAAATTTCTTAACTGACAAGGAAATTTCTTTTCTAAAAACTAGCGAATATGGTTGAGGTCTTTGCCGCGCCCCTCGTGCCGGTGATTTTTACAGCGGAGCTGTTAAGGGCTAGGTTCCCCAGGATCATGTCCGGTATGTCGACACAAACCTGCTTGGACAGCTACCGCCATCTATAAGCGACGGTGGCAAGCACACAACCAGTCTGGTTACCACCATCACTCATAGATGGAGGCAACCTTTCCAGCTATCATGGAAGAATGGATTGTTGGGCGAGTTGGTGTTCATCGTAGGAAACAGCAGGAAAAACGGATGACGACGAAGAAGCACACGTAACGAGCGCAGCGCTCGTCACGTTTGTTTCTTCGTCTTCTTCTGTTTTGCGCTCTTATCAGTTTCGGTTTGGACTCAAGATGGGTCGGCCGCGCGCCCTTTCGGGGAAAGGAGACAGACTGCTGAAGGAGCGGCGACGTACGCAGCAGCGCGACTGGGTCCGCAACCGCCGCAAAGCCGCTGTTGCCTCGACTTCCACTGCGTCCAGCGCTTCAGATTCGCTTGCCAAGGAAGAGCACATCGCTCGCCTGGAAAGCTGCTGCCGAAAACAGTACCAGCGATGTAAAGGGCGCCGGCGGGCCAACGCCACGGGCGACGATCGTGCCACGGAGGCAAAGCGCAAGCGCGAGGCCCGGCGACGACAGCACTCCACGCTGGCTGAACAGTTCCCGGGTGCAACTGCGAGGTTTCGGAGGGAGTTCATGGAGAACCTGTTCGTCGTCACGTGCGCTGTGTGCGACCGACTCTGGTTCGCCGGAGACTTGTCCACGATCAGTGGCGTGTCGGACGAGAAGCGGGAAACTGGCGCGTGCACGTTGCGGCAGTGTATTGAGTACAGCTCCGCTGGTCTTCCTTCTTCATGAGAGTGGACACGCTAAACTTTTCTCCCGAGCCTTCCGCACGTTCGTGTCGACTTCATCCTTTTAAGACTGATGAATGCGTTTGATGTTCCTTTTGCACCCCTGGTGCCAGTGTTCTTTTCCTGATGCATGCAGCATGCTCCTGCTTCTTTCTTCTTTTCACGTGTAATACATTTGAGTTGCAGGTTAGCGCTAGTCTGTCTTCTGTGTTCCGTTCCTGTCCTTGTCCTCGTCTTTGTGCGCCAGATTTTCATCCTGTTCAATTCCAGTACCAACTTGCCCAGCTTACCACCTTGTTAAAACACACCCTGTATAGGTACCTTGGATATGGTAAAGATGACTTGAACAAGATTGTGACCTTAACTGACATGGCTCTAATTTGCTTCTATTCCACCACTTCTTGATCCCTCTTAAAATGAAGGTTGTTTCCCTTTTCTCTCCAAGGTCGCTGCGATCTGCGTCACTTGTGAGCAACTTCACATCGTCATCTCAGGATAACGGGAACGCCGGGAATCGGAGTATGCCACTCTTGACTGCCGACACACGCATCTCCATCGACAAAGGGGTACTTGTTCATGCAGTGTGTACCACTGTGAATTGCTATCAAGTGCTTGTGATAGTTGCACAGCATACGTGAAATTGACAATTCAGCAGCTCTTAGTCATAATGGAAGTGTTATGCAATTTTTTTTAGAATTTCTAATTGCTTGTATAATTATGATTTGCCTCTTCAGCCCTATGGTTTTACCTCCTCCAATACACTGGTCGAATGTGGCCAAGCGATGCCCACAGCAGTAGTAATATCTGTACAGGCTTGTACAACATTTCATATATAAATAAAATTACTAACCATAAATTAATTTTTGTGGAGTAATTCTATGCATAATTTGCTATTGACATTCATATTTATTTTACCAAATTAGCTGCGGAAAACTTGGGAAAGTGCAGGAATTCGGTGATGCATAATTTGAATCAAGGGTGGCTGCAGGGAAAATGCCCTCCCTAAAAGTGCCACTGCATGGGGGTGCACGGATAGGTACAGGGGAATTCCTCTTGGGGGTTTCAGAGCCACGAAGAGAACGAGCCGTTTCTTCTTGGGTGTTCCACGGACGATCTGCGCAAGCCCGATGCCAACATCCTCCGGAGAATACCCGAAGACGCGGAGGCAACGGCGGTGCTGGTCGGGGGCCTCGAGTACCTGGAGCAGCCCACCATTGCCTTCGTGCGGCTCGCTCGGGGTCAGGTCATGCCCAACATGATGGAGGTGAGGAACCCGAAACGGAGCATGCACTTGTTTTCTATGACTCCTTGTTTGAGTTTTCTGACTCTTTTGTCATAGATGTCTAATGAATGCATTTTATGTATTATCAAATTTTTTTTCTCAAAATAACTGTAGATTTTTTTTGTTTTTAAGTAATGTTTTGCATGCACAAAGAACTTTGAAGGCCTTTGCATTCTTTGTTCGGTACACTTGTTTGAGCGACACTTTCCAGTCATTTTGCGTGTCTAGCACTGACGTTGCAGGCACCTTCCGGTTGGATCATTTGTGAAGCGCTTGAACGACTGCACTTTAGCTGTGGCGTACTCCGAGTGCAGTGCCACCACTGCCACCAAAGTCGATGTGTCTTTTCCGCTCTAAAACGTCTTGCCAGATCAGAGAAGCATGGCCATGTTTTCCCCATTAACTACTGTCAGTGTAGTGTTTCAGAATATATAGTTCTCATTGAAAGGTGTGATTCTAACTTTGAAGCAAATTTGCAATGAATGTTCCGTGCTCCCAGTTTCTCCGAAACACCAACTATTTTCTCACTCTTTCTTTTTCTGTGTATTCTTTGTGTATGGGAAAAAGTGCATAGTGCTTAATTGAACGGGATTTTAAAGTGGAAGAAAATTAATCAAATGAAATAATTAAGTACATATTTGAAAAGTAAACTCCCACAAAGAAGTATTGGTTCACATTGTCTGCCAATCATATAGACAACAAGCATGCTTCATCTGTGATTTAATGGCAGCATCTGGCGCAAGGCGCCCGCTATCAAGTTTGAACCCGAGCAGGGCGATGCGGGTTTGGGCTATTTGAGCCTTTTCGGGGTTCAAGGTCATTCCCGCGGCTTTTATCCGGTCGAGTACGTCCTTGAGATGACGTAGGTGATTTTCGAAGGTGTTGGAGTAGACGACAATGTCGTAGAGATAGGCCATTGCGTGTTTCCATTTGGCTTCTCCCAGTACTGGGTCGATCAATCGCTGGAACGTCATTGGCGCTCCGCATAGACCGAGGGGCATTCGTGTGAATTCGAAAAGCCCGCGGGTGACAATAGAAGGCTGTTTTTGCCTCGTCACCTGGCTCCATCCGAACCTGGAGGTAGCCTCGGCTAGCGTCCAGGGTGGTGAAGTACCGCACACTGCCCAAGTTGGACAGAATCGAGTCGATGCTCGGTAGCGGGTAAGCGTCCTTTCGTGTGACGTCGTTCAGACGGCGGTAGTCCACGCAAAGACGTGAGCTGCCGTCTTTCTTCGGGACCAACACCACGGGGAATGCCCAGGGGCTGTTAGATCGCCGAACCACTTTGGTGTCAATCATTTCGTCCAGGGCACAATCGATGGCTTTTCGTTTAGCCAAGCTTACGGGTCGCGTGTTCTGCTTTCTTGGCAGTTCGTCACCCGTGTCAATGCGATGTCGCACTTCGTTTGTGCAGCCCGGTCGGTCAGTGAACATGGCGTCATAGCGGCGCAACAACGACGACAGTCGGGCTTTCTCTCGCCCAGACACGCTGCATGATTGCGTGAGCAGTGGTTGCGTCATTTCCCCAATGAGGGCGGCACTCGATGCCATCGGCGCTGGACTCGGTGTCTTGGGGTCAATGACCCAGTTTAGGGTGTCCCTCGCTTCCTCTCGACTGCTCGTCGCGTGCGCCAATGGTGGCGTTGGCGGTACAGCCGGGGGCCCACAGAAGGGTTTCAGGGGTGCAAACGTGCCCTCCCGATAGTTTGCGCTGCTGACGTCGATTACAATGCCTGTTTTGGCAAGGAAGTCTCTGCCCAAAATAATGGGCACCAATAGGCCAGGGAGACGAACAAAGCGTTGTCGTCTTACTTGATTCTCCCATCTCGCGACCAGCCGCGCGGTACCAGCCGAAAGGGCGGTTCCGCAGGCTAGGCGAAAGGCAGTGTTGCATTCTCGGAGTCGGACAGAATTTTGTCGGAGGTGAGTCAACACTTCGTCGCCGAACATCGAAGCGCTTGCTCCGGTGTCGAGGAGTGCCTTGTGAATGCCTTGCCGGTGATCGTTACAGAAATGAACGGGGCCGGGGTGCCGGTCGGGAAGCCTATTCTGTAGGCGGTCGGTAAAAGAGTGGCCATGTGACCCTCTGATTCTTTTACCGGTGGCTTTGCTCATTTCCCGCACGGTGCGATTCCGTGTTCGGCCGTTCGGGGCAGTGGCGCGCGAGATGATCAGGGCGATTGCACCGAAAACATCTTCTGTCGTCGCCTCGCCGGGGGTTCCGCCGTGCGTTTTGGTTTTCGCTGGCTCTGTCGTAGCGTGCATCGGCTCGCTGACCTTGAGGGAGCCTCATTTCTTCCTGCCTCGCTGCCTCGTTGGGGCGCGAGTCGGTGGTTCTGAACTGCGGCGCCGGCCGGCTTGTTCGTCTGCCGTAGGAGTACGGGTCGAGCGCACAATCTGAGATTGCGTACGTATCTCAGCCCCGATCTTCCGCATAGTTTGCGGAATCGTAGCGCCTCAGTGCTTAAGATGGTGTGTCCCTGCTCCACGCGCAGCGCGGTTCGAGGGCCGCTGACGCTGGAGGCGGAGGCCGGTACGCACGGGCAGCAAGAATGTCTCCCTGAAGGTGCCGGGCCTCGGAGGCGAGCTCGTTCAGGTCGCGGAAACGGCTGCCTTGAAGATACGCAGCGAAAGTCTGGTGGCTTTGGCATATGACGCGTTCCACTCGCCCTGCATGGGGAGCTGAGGGTTCCGCGAGCTCCAAGAGCTCTTGCATGGCTCTTACGAACTCCAGCAGGGACTCGTCCAGATGCTGGGTTCGCTGTTCGAGCTCCCGCCACATCCTTCTCGTAGTCGGCGGGAAGGAATTCGCGGTGGAACGCCTCCCAGAACTGATTGAGCGTTCCAGGTTGGTCACCGACAAGTCGGAACCAGCGGGCGGCTTCGTCGACGAGCACGATTGGCAGAATGCGCTTAAGTGTTTCACGATCAGACATTCCCATCGCGTGTTGGTACTTCCGTAAATCATCAAGGAAGTCCGTAGCGCTCGCTCTGTCTGCGTAACCCCGATAAGTCTGGAGGGGAATTCGGACCGGAGGTCGTTGGGTCTGTGGTGCGTGTGTTGTCGTTCGCAAGGCACCTGTCAGACTCTCAATTACACGTGCCACGTTTTCAAGCAAGGTGCGATGAGGCGCCGCAGCGGTTTTGTGCCAGCAGCGGAGCAGGTGCGTTCAGAGAAGATCCGGGAGCGATGGCGCCCACCCGCAATGGCGTCGGAACAATGTTCGGCTCCAGGGGTTCGCCGTAGGGCGCTCCTGGTTGGAGGGCTGGCATTTCGGCTTCCCGTTGACGTGGGGCCCGTGCGAATGCGTCGGCTGTGGTCACCAGCGTGAGCAAATCAGAGAAGTCGGTCTGCATCGTCACAGTAAGCACTGGTTGCGCGAGGACTCGTCACTCGGCAGCAGTCGCCACACACAGACGTACCGGAATTCTGGTCGTCAGCTCCACCTTGGGCGCCAAATTGTGGTTCTCCTTTGGGCCACTGCCTTTGGGAGTACCGCGATTTGGCGCCCAACGTGGGGCTGACGACCTGAATTCCGGTACGTCTGTGTGTGGCGACTGCTGCCGAGTGACGAGTCCTCGCGCAACCAGTGCTTACCGTGACGATGCAGACAGACTTCTCGGATTTGCTCACGCTGGCAACCACGGTTGACGCATTCGCGCGGCCCCCACGTCAACGGGAAGCCCTGGTTGCGCGAGGACTCGTCACTCGGCAGCAGTCGCCACACACAGACGTACAGGAATTCTGGTCGTCAGCCCCACGTTGGGCGCCAAAATGTGGTTCTCCTTTGGGCCACTGACTTTGAGAGTACCACGTTCGCGGCGAGCCGTTCTACCGCGAAGTGGGTTCACACTCGCGTAACATGCTGCTCGTTGAGCGCAATCAGACACCAGTCACGTTGGTAACGGTGATAAGCTCTGTTTATTTAAATACAAAACAAATGACAAGAAAACAGCGGCTATAAGCTGGTGAACGCCGTCGGTGTGGAGATCGCCCATGGCCGAATGGTCATTCACAAAGATACAAAGGACGGGATAAACGCTCACCGGTGCGCCAGACGTTTCCCCGTTGTCGCCGCCGTCGAATCTCAGGAAGCAAGAGAAGAGAGCTCCCGCTGTTCGCTGGTTTTAAGATAACGGCGGGGCAAAGAGGACAATCAAGGAGCGGCACGTCGATCTCCTTTCTGCAGGGGGTTCGTTACGAAAATCACCCCTAGGGGGGGAAAGGAGGAAGCCACTCACAGTGGTAAGCAGCGCCACCTCTTGCTATGTCAGCGCGGCCGCCACGGCGCGCCAAAACGCTGACGCAACAGAATGTTGAGGGATCACAATCCCCATAAAAAGGGAACGACTCCTACAAACAAAGCCAAACCATACTAAGTTTACTTCCTAACAGTGCTTCATGTTTTTGGTGATGTAATCGTACAGGCAAGGCAGAGAAGCTACCAGTTCAACAGTCTGTATTTTTTTTTCCCTTTTCATTGGATGATGTCATCATGAATGGTGTGGGGAGAAGGGGGAGACATTTATTTTTGAATAGGAGTTGTATTTTAACATAGAATGCGTTATATGGCTGGCAACTAACCATATTCAGTTAAGGTGCCAGCAATGGAAGTCGACAGGCCGACTGCCAGCCGTCCGCTGATTCTAGCACTCGTCTCCTCACTGATCGGGCACCAGTGCCAGCCGATCCTCTTCCTCAAGTGCCTCCATGTTACTCCCGGTGGGGGTAAAACATATGGCGATCGGACATACAGCGGCGCTCTGCTCTGCGAAATGAGCACACTGCTCATTTCACGGAGCAGAGCACACTGCTCATTTCTCTTGCGCTCTTTCCCAGAGAAAGAGCGCAAGAGAAAGCGACAGAAAAGCACCAGGAAAATACACCATCTTCCCGAGGGGAATCATGGGAATCATGAAAAATCGTTTCAACTCGATGTTTCTTCCAATGGTTGAACTACCAGTTGACTTCACCCAACAAAATTTCACAGCAGAACCATTTCTCTTGAAAAAGCAGAGTGAGAGCCATCCCTATTTGCGCTAATGGTTGTCGTTGAGAAATTACGCGGAGCTTGCCCTACTAGGGTGAAGTCGCGTTTCATTTAGAAATTTCACCAGAGGAACGTGAAAACCCAAATGAACCTCTTGCAAAGACGCATAACTGTATACTTTATTCACCTTGGGTGACAGTGGGGTGGAAGCTACATGCTCGTTGTACCAGTCATACTTCTATCTTTCACCACGTGATCACGCTTTTGCCCATAACCACATGTAGAGGGCGGTGCCAGGCGACGAGAAGGAGGTGGTTGATTGGTCCAAAGAACACGTAGCACCCACCGCACTGTTCGCTCCAGGGCGAATGGGGTATAGTATGTGAACATTCAGAGTTTCTTAAATTATCGGTATTGTGTGTGTAAGAAACAGTGAGGAAATAACTTTTTGTTATTCTTTGAGGTCCTTGTAAAACAAGCCTCTCCTGACAACAGAACATGTTTGCAGGTTCCCATTCCTGTGCGATTTTTCTTCATCCTGCTGGGCCCAATCAACTCGGACTTGGATTACCACGAGATTGGACGCTCGGTATCCACCCTCATGTCCAACACTGTGAGTCTGTGGCCGTCTGTCAAGCACGCTGGTCCCTTGATGTTCCCAGTGCATTTCGTAGCCTCCACTAGTGACGGAAAGCTCAATGATTAGATGCTCGGTGGTGGAACTGCTGCGCTATTTGCACCAAACTGCGCCAGAACAAAAACCCTGCTACATGCTGCTCCAAAGGTTGTATTTGTGCATAATTTGCGCCATGTGTGCCCCAAAAGGGAGCTGTTCTCAGAAAGGAAGGCACGTGGCATTCTTGGTGATGCCACTGAAAATTAAAGTAGTTCTTTTTTTTTTTTTTTTAGATGCCCGAGTACTATGTGCGAAGAGTAGGGATGCGCGAATATTCGAATTATCAAATATTAGTTTCAAATCATACAATATTTGATATTCCTTTCAAAATTAATTGCAATAACTTTTTGAAGTGTTGATCGTGGCAGGTTAGCCCCCTTGAGTGCGCTTTTCTTCAAGCATCGATGCACTGCGGAGAAGCAATACCCGCGGAGCTGACACCGCTATTTCGCGACTCGCTTCACCGCAGCGCAGCAGCGCACTTAGGCGAAAAACACACCTTCAAAGTGGTATAACATTTGCGCGCGCGTAATAAAAGAAAATAAAACGTTGCGATTGTTGATATTTATATTGCAGTAAAATCCTCAAAATTTAACTGTGGATATTATGCCACGGTGTATGTTAGGCAGCAATGTTTTAACATCCTGTGTTCATTACTCATGCTTGTTTTGTTTTAATTAAGAATTGAAGAAATTATTCTCGTATATAGCAAGATTTATAAATCCCCTCATTTAGGTATGGTGGGCTCCCTTATGTCAAATCTGTCATTTACTTGCCATCATAATGTAGGCATTGGACCGTCTGAGGCCACAGTCTATAAATATAGCTAGATTAAATTTAACAGAGCTGCGAGTTCAGCTGAATTTTTGTTGTGTGGTGGGAAGTAGTGAAAGGCATGGAGAAAGGCGCAGCAACTATTCAATATTTGATTCAAAAATATTCAGCCGAAACCCCTATTCACTCTAAATTTGCTTCGAACCCAAAATCTATTATTTGCACATGTCTAACGAAGAGTTGTCGGTTTTTATGCAAACGGTGCTCACATAGATCGCATGAATAGGTAGCGCTACTCGTTGTGATCAGTTAGAGTAGCTATGTGCTCCACTTAGCTGCTCTAAGAACAGTAGCAGGTTGAATACGAGCGAGGGCAAGGTGAGACACATTCAACACAAAAGTGTCCATTTGATGCCGAACTCGCGACAATTACCTCACCGTAATGCAAACCCTAAACATCTTTTTTTTTTTTTTTTTACTCAAACCGAAGACTTCATTGGTTCCTAATAGGTTGTTTGAGACATCTAGAAAATTACCAATGTGTGATTGTTCAATAAATAAATAAATAAATATCTGTAGTGGCCAGGTCCTCTGTAGGTATGATACTTTAAATAGTCTCCCAACATTCCCAACAACTGAAATATTTTCCACAGGCTAACTTTTAAAGGGATTGTATCCACTTTTTTGACATGAAAGCTCAAAATAGTCTGCTACAAAAGTGGGAATCTCTGCTCCAAAACCCATTGTTCCCTACTACAAGAGCTGCTCCAAATCACCATTTGTCAGTTCCACCACTGGATGCTCATTTTGGACCTTACTGGAACCAATAAAGTCAGCAGACCTGATTGGCACCATTTTATTATGCTGCCAATTTAGTGGACCACCAAATTGTTTCTTGACCCTGAAAGCTAATTTTTTATAAATAATTAAAGGGATGGCACGTGTTTTCAAAGTTTGTTTTTGCAATCGCATAGGCCTTTAATTAAAATTGATATAATATTATGTTACTATGACTAGATACTTTGTTATGCCCGTTGCTTGTGAAAATAGAAAAAGAGAATTTTGGGCTTATCTTGACAAAAGTATTAGACAGTGGGGATGGTAACCTTTTACCTACAACTAATGATTCTCTCAAGATAAATGCCACAGAAGTGTTCTAAACTTGGCCGAAGAAGCCCCCCTCCCCCCCCCCCCCCCCCCCCCCAGTTAATAAACTATGTATAACATTTTCTACGAGTTTCCAGCTAAACGAAAGAAAATAGGAACAGTATGGGTCATTTCTTCCCATGAGGTTATTTATACTATCCTTACCTAAGTACCTGCTACGTGTTTCGAAAACATTTTCCATTGCCCATTGCATCTTCAGTGGAAAATTGCTATATTACACTGAGCAAAATAGTTGGTTTGTGCAGCTTGGTATATTGATATCATTATGAGATGTCTTTTCAAAGCATTTTTATAGAGAATATTTCAGTTTACTTGGCTACTAGTTCAGTGCCTAATCCATTAGGCAACAGGGAGCAGAAGTTTGCAAGTCGCCATCGTTTCGAAAGGGGACGGACTATATAGTCACTGACAGAGAGAGAACGGCAGGGTGAGTCCTTCGAATGCCTGGCCTCCAGCACATGCTCCATACCTTCCTCTGTGCTTTGACTGCACACGCACTCTCGAGGTGCTCGAGACGCTCAAGCATTGTCAAGGGTAGAAAGCTCTCGCTGGAGGTGAGACAACTGAACTCCTCCCTTCCATTCTCATTTTGTCAGTGACTAGCCGTGACATAGCACCTGCGCTCAAGTGGAGCGGACTTTTAAAGTTTTCTTTTGTTTTGTTTTTTGTCTTTGTTGTGCCACGCAGAGCTTTCACACGGCTGCATACAAGGCCGAGGACCGTCGAGACTTGCTGAGAGCCATCAACGAGTTTCTGGACGACAGTATTGTGCTGCCCCCTGGCGACTGGGACCGTAAATCACTCCTACCCGTGGACGACATTAAGAAGAAGTATGACGACATACGCAAGCGGAAGATGTCAAAGAAGAAGACAACCCTCTGTTAGTCTGCTTTGGATTTGGTTTCAAGATGGAGTTATTGCGAGTTCTCGTGGGCACCGGACGATGCTCACCTGCACTTGTCCCTTTGTGGCTGCCGGGATAGAGTACTGTAGCGATGTGTGGAAACTAAGTGCGTCGCAGTAGCAATCGGCCACCTTGCGCCGTCTGCTGGCCCTCACCGTACCCTGCACCTCGGTTTCAAGCAGTGAGCAAAGATATTTGTCCAAATGTTCTAGGAGATAGTCTCCAAAGTTTGTCAGATGGCACATTTTATGCTCGCATTGCTCACATAGGCTCATATCAAACCAACAAGTTTAGCTTTACCTTATGCAGTGATGTGATTTCTGTGCCATTTGTGCCAAACTGCGCCAAAGTGCTTACCCTGCTACAACCTGCTAAATTTTACCAAAATGTGAGGAATTTGTGCCAACATTGCACCAAAACTTAATTTCACTTTAATAATACTGAAAATATACCTTAAGCCTCGCTACCTGGACGGATCGTTACGATAAGCTTGTGTGAGTTTTCAAAACTTTTTGATTATCGCCTTAAATAATTTTGCTATTTAATTGCATTTCATGTCAAAGACTGACAGTACTCTGAAGTTTCGCAATCATTCTCATGTTCATGGACTGTTCTGGCGGGTTAGTTTTGTTGAGTGCGCTTCTCACCGTGAGCTGGTGTACTGCAGAGAAACGGCAACCGTGGAGTAGGCATAGAAATTTTGTGTGTCTTGCTACGCCGCAGCGTACCCTCGTGCCAAGGGGAAAGCGCTTTTTAGAGTGAGACGTGACACTTTCTGAATACAGCTTCGGCTTGTATATATTATAGACTGTGATAGTCTGGCAGTATCTTTTTCTAATTCAATGTTTAGCAAGGATACTTCGGTAGTGTAAGAAAATTTATAAGCACTCTTTTGTAGGTTTATTTTTATGCCAAAGCCTTTGTTTAATTATCACTTTAATATAGGTGTGAGTAAATTAGAAGTAAATTGGCAGGAGCAGTGATGGAAGCTTAGAAAGAACCTTTACAAGTTATATGAATTATAAATTGCAGTTTGTCCAGTACAATAAACGAAACTCACAGTACTTTCAATCTATATATTTGAGTCAAATGCAGTTCAACTGTATGTAAGGTAGCAGTAGCACAAGACTACCAAACTGTAAACTGTCAATTTAAAACGCGTCCCATTTCTCTTTTTGGGACTGGGAGGCGGGGGAGTGGGTGGAGTGGGAAGGGGGCTAGGGGAGGGAGCCGCGAGCCGCACTTTAACACGTGAAGAGCCGCAGCTTGGCCACCCCTGCTCTAGTCCATTGTTGAGCTTTCATTACATTTGGGTTAGCTGTGGAAGCATCACAAAAAGAAGTCACAGCATCCATTGGCTATACACCAACTCATGCTTGCAAACAAACGGGCATGCCCCTAGCGGTGCTGCACATGTGCGATGGGGTGTGGGCACGATGTGCACAGTCTTCCATCAACAAACCACAGTCAAACCCGTTTATGACGAACAGCAGGAAGCGCTTCGATCAGTTCGATATAGCAAGTTGTTCGATATAGCAAAAACCATTTGCAACGAACTTCCACGATGCGTTCGTTGTTGTTGTGGGCGGCACGACAGCCCGGCACGACAGTTGTAAGGAGAGAGCTTCTCTTTTTTTTTTTTTTCACATCTCTTCGTTTCCGCCTTGTAGCAGAGTGCTAGAATTTTTTTTAATGCATGCAGAGTTTATCATGTCGTATTACACCTGAGACTGCGGTGGAAGAAATCGGAAGAACTTTCATTAGAAGGAACAGACACAGAGAACGTCTCTTTTTGAGACGTTCTCTGTGTCTGTTCCTTCTAATGAAAGTTCTTCCGATTTCTTCCACCGCAGTCTCAGGTGTAATACGACATGATTAGCTACCACCAGCTCGCCTGCACTCTCACCGTCTTTTCACTAATGCAGAGTTTGTTCTTTTAGCTTATCTCCCCTCCTGAATCGCTTTTCTTTTGTAAACAACTGTGTTAGGACGAAATTTTTTTTTTTTTTTTTCTGAGCATGCGTGCAGAGTGTTTTTTTTTTAGCTTTTTCTCCTTCTGAATCACTTCTTTTCGCTCAATTTTGTTTGCGGCTTGAGCTTTTGGAATTATCTTTCTTTCCTACTTTTTCTTGGGGCTGGAAGGGACAGACTAGAAGATGATTGTTTGCGCGTTTTTGGAAGCCTTCCAGCTGGGAAAGAGTTTGATATAGCCAATATGTTGTTCGTTATAAAAAGTACTTTTTACATGCATTTTTATTTAAATTTTTTGTGAGTTCGGTATCGACAATATTTCGCTGTACATGGGTTCGTTCTAAACGGGTTTCACTGCACTTGGATGCGATGTTGTTGGCATCAGTCTCAGTGCCAACAACATCACACTTTTTTGCATTTGAATTGCTGGTTGTGCATTTTCCTACCATTGTTTTATTACTTTAGACAAGGACAAGGCTCGTTATACTGCAGAACTTCACGTGAATAATGCGAGGAAAGGCGATCCATTCTGCAGGGATACTGCAAAATGGATGCTAAAGCCTGATTCGCATGATGAGATTCTACTTGCTATTTTAATTTTTGATGTCGCTCAGGCTGCAAAGAAGCATAGACAAACTGCAGTACTCAACGTTGAAATTGCAAATCGCAAGCAGAATTGGTTTGTATGAATCGGGCTTAACAAATCGCTGCTGCCCACTGGTTACAGTGGTCAACGTTGCATTGTATCTACTGTTTACAGTGAGCCATTTTACCCACTCTTCAAGTTTATAGATATTTAGAAGCCCACAATTAATTTGTATCCCGATTATCGTGTTGACGTGTATACCCTTGACATGGTCTACGGGTTGTTTTCACTTGAATGTGAAGACCGTCATATAAATGTGCACACAGCCGTCTTAATGTGAAGACGCTCTGAACATGGTCCAGGTAGTCCGGACTGCACAAGTTTCTTCATGTTTGTGTTAGAACTACACAAATAATTGTTACAATAAGAAGTCTGTGAATTTACCACAAAGTGCTTCTCACACAGGCAATTGTGGTCCAATTTTATATAGTTTTCCCTTTTCACGGCGTCTATCCACATTTTCGGGTAAATCGGACAGGTACACATGTGAAAACTGATCTTGACACCTTTCCGAGCCCTTTCCCTGCAGTCTCGGTCTAAACAACCCTGTAGAAAGATCTTGAGGAAATGGCTGGTTTTTTACTAAAATAGCATACGAATGCCTTACCAGCATAATGTTTCTTTCCCTAACCCCGGACCGGAAACGTGGGCGAAGCACCGCGACCGCGGCTTGTTGAAGGCTAACGTGAGAGAGTTGACTCGGTGTATAGGAAAGCTCATTGTGGCGTGCTGATTTTCATTAAGAAACACAGTACTACTATTGCACCAGGGCCGTCGCCCTACTTAATAATTTGAGCAGCGAGTTGCCGGTCGTGTTGGGGCGAGTGGTGCCCTTCCAAATGGCGAACCCCTGTCCCAGACACTTGTCACAGTGCCTCGCCTTGTTGCAGCCCTGGAAGAGAAACTCCCGCAGTACGAGCCCCTTCAGCGCAGCGGCCGTCTGTTTGGGGGCCTGGTGAGTGACGTGAAGCACCGGCTGCCCTGGTACCTGAGCGACTTCAAGGACGCACTCAACGGGCAGTGCCTGGCCACGGCCATCTTCATCTACTTTGCCGCCCTTTCGGGTGCCGTCACCTTCGGAGGCTTGCTAGGTAAGGCATGCAGGTGCCCAGAGCTGACAAGACAGTATTGATAGGACATCAGGCAAACATTCTGCTGTTCATCTGGGAAGCATGCCGAGTGTAGTGCAAAGCAAGCTACTATGGGGTAGCATGAATGGAGGAGCTGGCTTTAAGAGGAGCCGGGAAAATTTGTGCCTGCATGTAGAGGGCTCAAATTTTCAGTTAGGTTCATTCCTGCGAAAAATGCACGTCACCGACATTTTAATTCGCGGGCTCCTATGAACACGACAGTCGCCCAAGAGTCGGGCTTGACTATCTCTCGTTAGGCGCAGCAAGCAGACGTCTGCTTTCAACCGAATGCTTGCCGCACCTATATTTGGGGGATAGTGCCATAAGCACGACTCTTGGGCAACCTGGTCATCTGCATCTAGCCCACCATTGAAAATGTCGAGGATGTTTTAATTTTTCGCATAAAAAGATATAGGTACTAAGGGCCGTCCAAAGTTTTTCAAGAAGTTTAATATATGCTGCACGAGCTAGTCTTGCATCGCTAGGTGCCTCTTGGTCAATCTTTCAGCTGTTCGTCTGTCAACTGGCGTCTTAGAAGTGCATGTGTTTCAGAGTTTTTTTCGGCTTGGGACGTGGAAGAACAGAGACTGGTTGCTGCGCATCACGAGGGAAGTTGTACAGCAATGTTTTAAAGACCACTGACGAAGAATGTGAGGCACAAATGTCCCGAGATATGGAAGAACAGAGACTGGTTGCTGCGCATCAGGACATTGCGCCTGCACACACCTCACTCGTTGCGAGAAACTTCTTGACCAAAAACAAGATGGCCACTGTCCCCCATGCTGTCCACTTACCTGATCTGGCCCCTGCAATTCCTACCTCTTTACTATAATAAAGCTTGGTTGAAAGGGTGGCATATTGACTCCACTGAAGAGGTCCAAGCAGAAATGCAGCCTGTACTGAACGCTCCCCATCAGGCAGGCTTTTTAGGTGCTTCTAAAAATGGAAAGAAAAAAAAAAGAAATTGGTGAAATTGTATACAAGCACAGGGTGACTGGTTTAAAGAATGGTGGTAGAAATTGGGACTTGCAGGAAGTATTAACCCCTTGCTTAACTAATAACGAGTATCACTCTTATTGCCCTTTATGGACCATAAAGGCCGACCACGAGTGTGACTCGTGTTTCGGTTTCGGCACTTGTTTAGGGCACTGTTCAGCAGATGGCAGCACCGCCCTTGTTGCTCCACATACCTTGGGTTGTTTGCTCGTTTGTGTTGCTGTTTGACAGAAAAAAAAAGTACATGCTAATTAAAGGGACACTGACACCCCCCAAAAATTTTTAATTTTTTGCCAGGCGCTTTATTATGGTGTCGGAGGACTACCCAATTAATATTTTGCAACAGAGTAGCATATTTTTTTAATAAAGCCAAAAGACGCAACTGCTCGAAACCGAAACCCGACGGAGGTCGGAGAAGTGGAGAGAAGAGAGCGAGTGGCAGAAGTCACGTGGCTACACCCGACCATGTGTTTTTTTGTTTTTTTTTTTCTCCTTCCCGGTAGCAGACGACATGCGGCATACGGGAACTGTTCGCCGTGGGATTCTTTTGCAGTTATGTATGTTCCGCTCGTTGGTCTGTACTCCAAGATGAGTTGTTTTATATATTGAGGAGTTGGAGATGAGTAGTGAGTGCCCGTGGTGAATTTTGATCGGCTCCGAAAAGAATACACCCAAGGTGTTGCGTGAAGAGCTGGCTCACATGTCCTGCGTCCGAAACAGAAGTGGCATTGTGCGACAGAGTTTCCGAAAGATCAACGGGATCGGGACCAATGGCTGGCTGCAATTCCTGTAGACCATTTACGGGCACCTCGGAAAGCGGACGCTACCTGATTTATACGCTCCTTGCATTTTGTGGAAAGTGATTACATTGAGTTCGCAGGTGTCAAAAAGGAAATCCCATACCATTTAATTCAGCGACGTGTCGTCCACAACATTTGTTTCTTTTTTTTTTTTTTTTGTTTCTTCAGTGATAATTTTAAAAAAAAGAAGAAATGTAGACATCAAAAAACATAAAAAGAAAAAAAAAGGTTCCATGGGGGATCGAACCCGATCCTACGGCGTGTAAAGCGGACGTCTTTCCCACTAAGCTACTGGGGCATATCGGAACTAGGGGATCTCTTTCCTTAGTAATAATTCAGCCGATAAACTGTAAGTTGGAAAGTTTGCTACCGATTTTCCTTTAGCAAAAGCACTCCCGGGTCGAAGTCGGGATGCACCCCGCATTGGCGACATTCTCACCTTGTAAAGAAATCGTACGCGTACATATTCAACTCGAAGTAGACACGTCGTGCTTGACGTTTGCGCGAGCGATGTCTTCAGCCACGAGAAGGGAGCGACGGCTCGGCGACGTCTTCGTGCAAATCGGCTTGGTGGTCGGGCATGTCGTACAGGATGAAGACCAATTCTTTTGATCAGTCCCAAATTTCTCTTTTAAAGGCAGACAAAATTCTCCGGTACCACGAACGACAGTTCTGAAACAGAGGTCCCACGCCCGTCGTCCGCTGCCATCGCGTCGCTGCGAGTCCCACGATACGCGAAACGACGCACGCACAGAATGCTTCCGGTTGTCTGTGGGACGTTTTTTTCAATCAACGTATTTGCAGCTTTTTAGAAGCCACAAAAAATGGGTTTCATATTTTTTTCTATTTTTAATATTGAGTGTGTGCCTTCAGTGACCCACGACTTTGATTAAATTTGGTGGTCGCATCGATACCTTAGAAAACGGCCCGTGACCGCGGAAAAGAGAGTGAGCGAGACTCGAACCGGCCAGTTCTTGATCGGCGGTTTTCGGGCGGAAAGAAACCGAATTTCGAGCCGCAAATTCTGTTCTGGGTAGTTGAGCTCTCATATGTCACGTACAACTAAAAACCTCGGCGAGCATAAATACCCTGTCAGTGTCCCTTTAAGTGTTTGCACCAAAACATGGTTTTGGCTCGGAGGTCCGCTTTAGCCAACGAAGAGATCCCAAAACTTCTTTTTGAAAGGGAATGCTCATGCATATCAAACGACAAATCTTGCATCTTTTCAGATTACTCAGAATCGGATAGCTCGATATGGACAGTGACGGGAGTGATGAAAACAATGCAAATCGTTTTCATCACTCCCATCAGGGTGGCTCTCCACCTTCCTGAATGTTTTCAGTGCTGTCACACTGTGAAGGACTACTGAAGAGGACCAAGATCAGAAGTCCTGATTTAGAGTGAGATACCACACCTGGAAGTCAAGGAAATGCTTTAAAAGGAAGTTTTGCTGTATGTTCCTTGAAGAAAAAAAAAATGAGTAGGCAAGGGGTTAATGTTTTATACCGTATCTACTCGCATAATAAACGCACCTCCCACAACGGCATCAATATTTTGACTTTTTTTTTTTTTTTTCCTCCCGTAATCAACGCACCTCCAATTTTCGGATCCGCGAGTCTCGAATTGCGTCCAATTTAGCAAGCCACCGAGCCAGTTTTCTTTTGCCGCCAAGCGGTCGGGCCAAGTCAAGCCAAGTCAAGCCGAGCGAGGCTGCTCACGTAATGGCCGCAAGTGTGTAGTTGCAGTAGTTACGGAAGTGATAACCGTGAAACCGAGGGACGCGTTTGTGGGCACACTTGACGAAGCTTGGGTCGAGAAATTGCCGAGCCCCGGACATTTTTCGCTTATCAGATGCATTGATGTCAACAAACAAGCCGTCGTCTGTGGTCCGCTTTCCGAGAGTGATGTGAAATCGTGAAAGTGGTTAGGCCTAATTTCACATGCGTTTATTTAACCCGTAACAAAACGGCACAGCGAGAAGGTGCACGCTGTGCTGTGGACTGAGTTTGTCTGGTAGCCTCTTTTTGAACGAAACTTGATCCATGCGAGCGGGCTTCGGGGGTCGGACTTCGTACGAGTTCTTATACGCGTAGTCTCGGATTATACCCGTGCCCGCCCGATACGCCCTTAAAATTTTTGCAATTTTATAAAGCATGGTTATTGTGGCGCGCCCCCGACCAGCCGTGGGTGCGCCTCCATCACTGGAGACGTGCCACAGTATCTTGCCGTGTCATATTGGCACCTAATGTGACATTTGCTCGAAATGTGTAAATGCAAAAATTTTACCCCGTGTAATGAATGCCCCCCCAAATATGTGTCAATTTTTCGGGAAAAAAAATGTGTTCATTATGCGAGTAATTACGGTATAGCAAATTCTTGAAAATTTTGGCTAGTACCTCGTACGTCTGAAATTTCACATGGTAAAACCTACCACTAACGTACATCCTTTTTTATGACCATTTGAGCCCTCTACGTGCAGGCACCAGTTTTTCCGACTCATTTTATAAATGACTCCTCCATTTGTGCCACTGTTTCAATTTTGGTGAGTCACATAGATTACTCATGCAACAAAGCAGCTTGTAATTTCGCTGAGAAAAAGAGCGCATTGGTTAAGAATTTAAGGGGCAACACTGGTCTTTGAGCTCTTTTTCTTATTTTATGACCAAACCCAATGAAACTGCACAAGCTCCAGCTTTTTGTGCCGATTTCAAATATCTGCTTATTTTCTCAGTGAGTAGAATTGTCCTCAAGATAATTAAAACTCACCTTCCTCTGTTTGGAGGAACAATAGAGAAAAAAAACTACTCAACAAAATATCCTATTTAACACATGGCTAGATACTCGAAGTGTAGAGAATACAATGTTGGAAGCACTTTATAGATTAACCCATTATTAGTGATTTTATCACTCATTGAAGTTGAGTGCTTAATGTGTGGCTAACAAGTAATAAAACAAAAGATAAATTAACAAATTTCTGAAACCTATATTAAGAAATCTGCTTGCAACATTGTATGCTTCACACATTTAGCTACATGTTTCAGGAAAAGTTATATTTCTATCTGTCTTAGATGCTGAGATATCCCTCCCACAAATTTTCAACAAGTCCAAAAATTGTTTTTGTCAAAACTGTGTTTTAGAGTTGACTTCAACATACATTCAGCTGCATAGACATTATAAATTGATTTATAGCTCAAATTTTCATCCATGAAATTAGAAACCTGGTAAAATAAAATAAAAAAGCAACAGCTGTAGAGGTCAACATCACCGTTTTCAGGAGAATGAAGTTTTAGGAATTTTTTGCATCCAAAAGACTCATGTCCCCCCTTAACTGTATTTTGGAAATAATAATGAATGAGTAATCTTTGACTATTCATTGTTATTTCTATTTATTTATGTATTCATACTGTTAGCTTTTTTGGGACTGTTACGTACAGGTGTGTAGAGGTACAAGGGCGAAAAAAAACCAAAAGCGAGATACTACATATCTATCACAATTTGAAAGCTACTGTAATAATATACGGTACATTCTGCACAAATGATTGTATATATAACCCTTATATAACCCTCGAATCTTCAAATTTGCACATCTGGTACACTTTGAAAGGATCCCATATGACTGAGACATACTAGGTCGGTCATACAAGTGTTTTGTGGGACGTTTGGTTTTGGGTGGAGCTTCATCTTGGTGCTGGAGCAGAAGGTGATCAATGTGTGTGCCCTCCTCTAGGTGACAGAATTTTGTGGCACCCTTGGAGGAGAAATAGATTCTTAGAAACATGCAACAAATAGGTTGTTTTTTTTTGTCAGTGATTGCTGAGACTGCTGTCTTATTCCAGTTAATTTGTATTTTTAATTGTCTAAACCAGTTTTGTACCAACTGTAAAGAAGAATGTAGATGTAAACCCATGTTGAGAGTTAATTGAATGCAACTTTATCCGATTCCAAGGGCTCTATTTTCACCCATGTTGCACGACCTGAATGGGAGGCACATGAATGAGGCATTAAACAGACCTAGAGCTTAACAGACCGTCGACCACATAGCTTAGATGATGAGCCGAGAAGCTGGACAGGGCACTCTAGGGGTAGCGTTGTTAACTGTCCGTGTGACTCCACATAGTCATTGTGGCAAGAATGTATGAGTACAAGGAGCAGTCATCCCCCGGTCTAAAAATAGAAGTATTTTAATTTGAACGTGAATTGAGCGTGAATGTTTACCTAAAATCGTAACTGGAATCCTTTTTCAGCGAACATGCATATGAAAAGGGACGGATGTATTTCGTAAGAAACATTTCTGATACTTTTGTTCAACAAAAAAAAAGTGTATACGACGAGTTATTTTTCAAGCACTTGTCCAAATTAGTAGAGAATAAGGAACCGAGTTTGCTGGTTGGTGCAAAGACACAATACAGGATAGGTATCTGCACTAATAGTGTTGGGTACCTATTAGCTCTTGCTGCATTTGTTGGTTCTCGTAGTGTATAGTGCCTCGTAAAACACACAGTCTCCAACCGGTGTGTTTACCACGTTGTCGATGTGGTCCCTCAGTTTCCGCCTGGCGACGTATTACAAGTGTAAGTTGTTTCCTGTCACGATCCTGGCGGTGGCACAGCAGCAAAGGTATATGCAGTAGACTCCTGTTCCACTGGTCTGCAGCCAGAGAGTTGACAAAACCCAAAGGAAACACGAGATGGGATGCCGCAACGACGGCAACCCTTGCATCCGTTCGCCGTTTTGGCCAACATTTCTACGACCATATCTGCCAGAATCGTGACAGGTGTCAAACGCACCACTCTGAGCAGTAACACGCTCAACTCGCTGTCCACCGTGGTGTTGTAGATAAGGCATGAAACATGTGGGCCAAGTTTTCTTCCTAAATGAGGTGTAGCCAAAAATAACCCGAGACTGAAGGTAACCTAAGATGGAGATCTCTCAAAGTGATCGGGGAAAGAAAGAAATGCTTGACCGGTTCTCACTGGGTGCGGGTCTCCAAGGAGCTTTGTTTGACTTGGGTGGGGATAATACTACGTACATACATCTAACCCGAGATGAGGAGACCAGAAGAGTTAGTGCACCTGTCCTTCAAAAGCGGCGAGACATGTGGCACAGGCGTTCGAACCAGCAGAGAAGAGGATGGCCTTTATGGAAAGGACAAAACCCACGAACCAGTCGACAAACATGCAGTGCAACGAACAAATGGAACTCGAGCGAAAAAGAAAAGGAGGAACTGTGATGAGGGGAGCGAAAGTAAAAAGCAACTCGTAGAGCAAAAAAAAAAAAAAAACTAAAAATATGTTGGATTTCTTGTGGGTTGTTGCATATTGGAGTTACAAGCGTACCTCGACACCACTTTCATTGTAGTATATTCATATCTTTGCTATATGTAGCGAACTTCATTATAGAGAGGTGTCACTATTTGGAAAACCGAAAACTTTAGAAGTGAGAAGGCAAATGAGATAGTGAACACTGTTTGCTGATTATTTGTAAGTGTTCACTATTTAGTCACTGACAAAATGAGAATGGCAGGGAAGTTTGTCATTTCGTTTCCTGCAGTACCTCTGGTAACAATTCGGCCTCTCGTGAGGCTCAAGCGTGTGCTGGAGGCATTCAAGAGACACCCTGCCGTTCTTATCAGTCCCTTGGCACATTAACCAAAACAGCAATGTTAGACTTTCAAGTGTATACACTAGTACCAGCATGCCAGCAGAGCCAGAAATTCTTTCAGTTTGACGGTTATGTACTAGTTGCTCTATGCAACTAGGACAAGATGCCGCAACAGTTTTAAGCACTCCTAACCTCATAGATAAGAGTGTTCTTCTCGGATCGTGATTTAATGTAAACTCGTGTTTGATCTGTTGTCAGTCCCAGTCAGTGTGATCTGGACTAAAAAATTGATTGCTTTGACAAGTGAGTGGTTCATGCGACTCGTCAAAAGTGTGTATTTCTCCAGACATAAGGGCTAGCACACTGATTGATCTCTGCTATAGGGGCCTGGATGACAAGTCGAGCACGCGGGACTGAAGTCACTGGAAGTAAGCTGTTTGTCCCAGAAGTGAGAGCTTGGTAGGCTTTGTAACCCTTCCGAGCGCTGGTTCGAAAAGCATCGAGGGCGCTGGATTTTCGCTAGTCACCTCAAGAGAGCCTGCTTGTTGCTTAAGAACGCATGCAGACCTGAGAAGTATCATGGGAAGCCATTCAATGTAAACATTTTGAGATTCTAGTTGATCAAGTGTCCATATGTCCCAAGCTTAAATGCCTAATTTTCGGGGTTTAATTCGGAGCATGATTATTGAAACCCACTCAGACACCGGAGTATGGACCAAAACATCGACTGAATGTGCTAAGAAGCCCAGCAGATGCCCGACTTCCGGGACGAGCATCAAACTTCCGGTGGCTTCACTTGCACACTGCTCACAGAGCGGCTAGTGCCATCCAGCTCCCTATTATAGAGATCAGTGGGCTAGCATTTGTCTTACTCTTGATGGGGCACTTGCGGTCTTTGTCGACTTGTCCATTCCCACTGGATGGTCGATCCTCTGGACCACTTTGCGGTCATCTCAAGATGTGCCTCCCTTGCTTTTTGTCAGGCGACAAGACCAGCAACCTGATCGGAGTGTCCGAGACCTTGGTTGCGACCTGTGCCACTGGCGTTTTGTTTTCTCTCCTCTCCGGCCAGCCCCTGGTGATCATTGGTGTCACCGGGCCAGTACTCCTATTTGACGAACTACTGTATGCAGTAAGTTGTTGCTCCCTTTTGTCGCCTTTCTCGCTAACAAACCACATTGTCTTTTTTGCGTTTTTTTTTTTCAGTTTTGCAAGGAAAATGATATAGAATTTCTGGCAATCAGGGTGTGGATTGGGATGTGGATTGCTGTTTTGGCAACCTTGGTGGTGGCCTTTGAGGGAAGCGCGCTCGTCCGATTTTTCACCCGCTTCACCCAGGAGATTTTTGCGTCGCTCATCTCTCTGCTGTACATATACGAGTCATTTTATAAGTTATACATGGTGAGCCAGCTTTTGCTTTTCCTTTTTGGTTCATTGCCGCTGCCCCGTGATGCAGACCTTGATAAAGTGCCGTCTCTGTTTCAGATATTCGTTACTCATCCTCTGCTTTCAGGGAATGCCTACTGTGATAACTCGACGAGTGATTTTACCGGTGCAAACTACTCGCTCGCCAACTACTCTCTCTCCAACTGGACCATGGAAGATGACTTTATTCTAGATGTGCCTCCGATGCGCCAGCCAAACACGGCACTCCTTTCGTTGATCTTGATGTTTTCAACCTTCTTTTTGGCGGACTTTCTGCGGAAGTTTCGCAACAGCAGCTTTCTGGGCCGAAACGTGAGTGGGCAACAAGCACTATGCCACCGTCACTTTTCTCACCTTTTTTTTTTTCTTTTCTTTCTCCGGCAGGCACGAAGAGCTTTGGGCGACTTTGGCATTCCGATTGCCATCATTCTTGTCGTCACGGTGGACTTCTTCATTCCCAACACATACTCGCAGGTGAGGAAGAGAGACCCGGGCATCGGGCTGGTCTTGGGGGACCTGCGAGTTGAAGTCAATTTCTGGGGCGCCTTCGATTTTCTGGGAACGTTACCAAGCCTGAACAGATCTGGGGAAATTTATTGGGAGAATTGGGCCAGAAAGTAACCAGCCAGGAAAGTCGTTACTTCCTTGCACACCTTCTGCGGCTTTGTGTATGAAGAGTCCTGTTTGGGTCTAGATAGTATATGCTGTGAGGGTGTTTATCAGTCAAATGCTCAATCAGACACAATTATATCGTAGAATGCTGAATGCTTCATAGAAATGTTAATTCATGCCATTTTCCCTTAAGGGGGGACACTGGTCTTGGAGCTTTTTCTTTTTCTGTTTTATGACCAAACCCAATGAAACTGCACAAGGTTGTTCAGCTTTTTGTGCAAATTTCAAATGTCTGGTCATTTTCTTATTCAGTAGAATTGTCCTCAAGGTAATTAATACTTGTCTGCCTTTGTTTGGAGGAACAATAGGGAAAAACATCCCCTTTAACACATGGCTAGATACTATGAAGTGTAGAGAAAACAATGTTGGAAGTACTTTTAAGATTAACCCATTATTAGTGATTTTACCATACATTGAAGTTCACAGGTCAATGTGTGGCTGACAAATAATAAAACAAAAGATCACTTCAAAAATTCCTAGATCAATATTAAAAATTTTCTTTCAACATTGCATGCTTCACATATTTAGCTACATGTTTCAGGAAAGTCTATTTCTATCTGCCCTAGATGCTGAGATGTTTCACCTGCAAATTTTCGATGAGTCCAAAAATTGTGAAAACAGTGTCGTAGAGTCAACTTCAATGCACATTCAGCCCGCATAGACATTGTAAATTGATTTATAGCTCAAATATTCATCCATTAAATTTATAAACTGGTAGATCCAGAGGAACAACAGCTGTAGAGGTCAACGTTGCCATTTTCAAAAGAATTAAGTTTTTGTAATTTTTTTGGCTTCAAAGACCTGTCACCCCTTATAGACAGTTCTGATTTAATGCGTTAGAGCCCAAAACCCTAAACTGGTTTTGGGGTGAGGGTTCCCTGGGAGTCCAGGGAGTGGTTGGAGAATCTGTAGTGCGGCAACAGTTTCTCATGCGCCCTCCGCGAGGTGGGGACCGCAACCTGGCGCACGTGACCTCAAAACATGACTATGTTCGCTCCTTTCCGGGGAGAAACATCTCCGTGCGAATGCACCATACTCGTCATTAATGCTTCTCTGTGTTAAGGAACAGGAACTCGCAATTGTTTTCTGAATAAAGCTTAAAACTGTATTTTTACTAAATTGCCATTGTTCTGGATCATCGGGTGTCTGGGGTAATTTGATAGCGATCCAGGAATCGTCACTAATTTACCGTAGCTGCTTTAAGCTTCAGCTAATATGGCCTTAGCTGAGAGCTGATTTCTTTCTTAATGTGCTTAAAAATACTATGATGGCCACGATCATACTCTCTCTGCATTTAATTCTCTTGTCTCTACTCTGGCTTGCACACTTTCTGAGATTGATGAGCTTATCACAATATTTTGTACTCAAAGGTGCAGTTTTAGCTGCAAGGAGGTGCCAGTGTAAATAAATTGCTTGTTGCAAATCATATTATCTCATCTCGGGAAAATACTGGTTTTTGTGTGTCTCGAGAAATCTGTGTAGTAGGTATATAGTGCAAATTGGAGCCTAAATTGACACTATACACCGATTTCTTGTTGATACTAATGGGGAGTTTCCATAATACTGATTCCACTGTCCCGCAGTGCTCTTTACAACCTGCTACGAGAGAGGCCCTGAACTGATAAGGCTAGTGACACGCATGTGCAGTAGCAGTACCTTCATTGCAGAGAGCTTTAATGGAGGGGGAAAACAGTCCATGAAAACTCCCCAATACCTGCCTTGCATGAAGCCTGCTCACTTTTCTCCACTATTAGTGCCAAGATGTCTCGATGGTGCCTTCTTATGGTTTCAGTCTGCGACGCCCCGATCAGAATTGCCCTTGCCATGACGTCCTGAGTTGTGACCCTGGTTTCTTTCTATCATTTGCGACGAAAAGTTTGATAGTGTGTTTAAAAAGCACAGTGGAAGCATGAGCCACGAGTACCAGCACCGTCGAAGTTGACAGTGTGACAATGCTCTTTTTGCCCGTGGTTTGGCCAATCATGGAAAGTTGACTACAGCGACGCCTTTGATCGTGCACATCGCTAACAGTATTAATGAGACCAAACAGAAAACAAATTTGACATTAAAGCTTTTGTGAAATTAGCGTGTATTTTTTGGGGAATTTTTTTCACAACTGCAGGGGGACTGTTTAGACAGAGCAGAACTGCTGCTAACGTAGGATGTTAATTTGTATCACGCAGTAGTGATTATACAACTGCATGCTGCTATCACTAATAGAAAGCTGCTCCAAACTGCTGCAAAATTATATTTATGTTGCTCCAAAATATAAATTTTTACAATACAAAACTGCTCCAAACATTGCTCCAAACCTTAAACTGGCTAGAGAATCACTGTTAGTGGTTTTCAGTGACTTTGTAAAACGCCGACACCGCACTCTGTGATTATTAATGAAAAGACTCGCTAAATGCTGCAAGGGCAAAATAAAAAAAATGAATTTCACTTTGCCTGATAAAGCATAGCTTTTATTATTCATTGGCTGTATATCCTATAATAACAGTTGCAAAAATTATGAAACTTCTCTATACCCGGCGTCAACTATTTTGTGCTACTTTGTCAAGGCTAGCATGGCTCCCACAGTGCTACAGCCCTGCACTGCTGCGAGAGGACATGTCTTCCTTTGCATCTCTTTCGCACATGCTCACACTTTGTCACGCTGTCCAAGTAGCCTTGACAGCATTGGAGCACTGCTAAAGATATGCTGGCCTGACAGCATAACATAAATAGTTCATGCAAATTATAGTATAGTATTGCAATTTGGGGCACAATGTTGGTTGTTCCCCCAACTGTCATTTAGCCAGTGAGAGGCAATTGGCGTTTCCTTGGTGTTTATCTATTTATATATTCATTGCAGGCAGATAGTATTAACCACTATTTTTTCGTTTAAAACTTGGAAGTCTGCGACTTACCCATAACTATGATACATTTTGCGTCACAGAAGAGTTTGTTGGTGCACAAACTTCTGGGTCTAGTTGATGTTGCAGTAAAGTTGTATGTGGGTTTTTCTTTTTTTTTTCTTTGGCAGAAGTTACAGGTTCCCAATGGCCTAAGCACCAGCAATGAAACACGTGGTTGGATCATCTCGCCAGTCAGTTCGACGCACCCTTTTGTTTGGTGGCACATTTTTGTGGCGGCCATTGGAGCCCTGCTGGTCTTCATACTCATGTTTCTTGAGATCGAGATTTGCGAGTAAGTATGTCGCACAGGACTCTGGGGTTCTTAAGGGCGCCATTTTGGGTGTGTTCTTCAGAATGCCTCTCTCAGAAAACTGGGAATTGTTGAGACACTCTTCGCTTGCCCCTAGCTGCAGCTCTTAAATGCACTATCGTGCGAGTTCTTTGGGCTGTTGGCGGTGGTATCTGGAAGTGTAACGTCCCTTTATCATGATGGGATGCGTTAGCATTGAGTTCGCCATAGTTACCAGAACAAAATTTGGTGGTCGTCGGTTATTGCACAAGAAGTGTGCTCGTGCACACCAATTTATTGTTAGATTGACTCGTTCAATCACAATTGCCGCAGAGATAATCGTTATGCATTTCGCTTGCCGTAAAAGCACAAATTTATAAGGAGCAATGAGATCTGTTGTGAGGCCTAGTTAGCACACGGAAAAATGCTGTTACGCATCACTGCTGAAAAAAATTTGGCACAGTTTTGGGTGTTTTTCATCGCACAATGTCTAAGGAAGATGCATAGCTGAAATTATTCCACTTGCCAGACATCCAACCAAATCTGCTCGTAACCATGGACAAAACTTGGTTACTGTGCTTGGTGCAATCGTGTGTCGACAATTGTGCCATCGCTAGTTGGTGATGGAGAAGCGTGTTGGTAACTGTGGATCGTTCACCCGGCAGCATTGTTAATAAAGCCGGTCTGTCTCTTGGCCAGATTGATCCTGAGCAAGAAGGAGCGCAAGCTGCAGAAGGGCTCCGGCTTTCACCTGGACCTGCTGCTCATCTGCTACATGGAGTTGGGCTGTGCATTCATCGGGGCTCCCTGGATGTGTGCGGCCACGGTGCGCTCGGTCTCACACCTGGCCTCGCTGACGGTGATGAGCCGGACGCACGCACCTGGAGAGTCGCCCCACATCATCGGCGTCAAGGAGCAGCGTGTCACCAACCTCCTGGTATCCCTGCTTGTTGGTGGGTCTGCCCCCTTTCCTCGTCACGGGCAATGCCCAAGATGACTAGCTCTTCTTGCTCGTTTTCTGACTATTGCTTCTGAGCAGCGGCAGGCAACTGACCGTTTTCGTGCTTTCCACATGCCCTTGCTGCCGTCGTCTTTTTCCTACCGGTCATTGTGCCTGTCATCATTTTGGTGTTTTCAAACACCCTTTACAACAATTTGAGACTCGTTCGTCTCGCAAAGACCTACGCCCAGTTACACTTTTGGTTTAATCCACCGCAATCGGCGCGAATGCAGCAACCTACAGTCAAACCTCATTATATTGAACACGGATATACAGAATTATTGCTTATATTGAATCGTTGTCGAACTGTCATAAGAATTACATGCATTTTAAATTTTTTATACCGAACTCGGTCGGTTAAAAAATTAATACATCGAACTCCGCAGCGCCGAAAAGCGTGCGCTCCGGAGACAGGCGGCAGGCTTTCCCGCAACACATCGAAGGATACGGCGGGCTTTCCCGCAACACATCGGAGGATAGCGGTGGCGCAGCAGGCGTTTGCGACTTTTACAAGCGCATGCCTGCGTAAAGCTTTATGCCTATGGTGCCGGGAGCGCCATCCAGACTTGGCGGCATACGGGCTCAGTCGCTCAGTCAGCTCAATCATATCGCCAGCATGCTTCACCAGCATCGCTATTTTCATGCGCTGTGCGTAGATCTCGCAGTTTCGTTCCTCCGGGTTCATTCCTCTGACGTTGCGTCAACCGCATATGGCGTACTGATGGCAACGAACGTAAAGAAACGTACGCCGCTGACGTTTGCGACGAAGCTTGAAATCATCTGCCACGTTGAAAACAGAGAAAAGAAGTCCAGCGTTCCAAAGCGTACAACATACTGCAAAGAAATTTGAGCATGCTGCTGAAGACGAAAAGTGACATCAAATCGAAGGCTGAACGAAGCATGTACTCTGGCGTACACCGTGTTCGGACACCGGTTTTCGAAAAGGTGGAAAGATCACTTCACAAGTGGTTTATGGATGCAAGGGCTTGGAACATTCCGGTGTCGGGGCCGTTGCTTCAACAGAAAGCAAAGGACTTCGAGTTCATCCACCAAGCACAAAACTTCGCCGACTTGGGGCGGAGCTGTGGCTGCTTTGACGCTTTTATGCCGCTACTGCAGCGCAATTCCAACGGTAGTGGTATGGCGCTTGTGGACTGCTTGGAGACCGTGGAGCGGGCCATAATAAGGCATGCGGTCAACTCCAAGAAGCAATCTACGCTGCGGCAGTTTTTTTCGCCGAAATAAATAGTTCATCTTAATGCTTCACATGAGTAGTCATTTTTGCCGCAAGCTTCTTAGTGATTGAATCGCGCTGCACTTTGGCGCGTTTTTGGTGTGATTTTGTATATAGAATTTTGGTTATATTGAATTATTTCACGGTCCTCGCGCTGTTCGATATAACGAGGTTCGACTGTACGTAGTTTGCAACTAAATTGTTGCATTTAGCTTTTATGTTTTGTTAGCTATTTGGAATGCACTGTACCATCTCTGGGAGCGAAAACTATAGTGTCTGGGCTGTCATTGTGCAGTGTGTGTGCAGCAAGATAAATGTGGCTAAAATGTCTTTTTTTTTAGTACTGATTTTTTTATGGACTACTGTTTACAGTGTTAGTGGCTCAGTTCTGTCGATCAGCAAACTCCTTCACTGTCCATATTGGCCTTCGTCTCTTGGTATCAGCAAATTATTCTTAGTAAGTGGAAGCAAATTTCACATATATGCCTTAGTATAGTCTGTTTGTTTGAATAGAGAGATCCTTAAGAGGAATGTAATAATATATATATATATATATATATATAGTACAGCGGAGCTGTTAAGGGCCAGTTTCCCCAGTTTCGTGTCCGGTACCAAACAAATGTAGACACAAAACTGCACAAAACTCTGGACAGCTACCGCCATCTATGAGCGACGGCGGCAACCAGACAACCAGTCTGGTTGCTGCCGTCGCTCATAGGTGCGGCAACCTTTTCAGCCATCATAAAAGAATCGATAGTTGGGCGAATGCGTGGGAATTCATCGTAGGAAACGGCATGCAAAACAGATGAGGACGAAGAAGAAACACACGGGACGAGTGTACAGCTTCACTGGTCTTCCTTCTTCACCAGAGTGGAAAGGCTGAAAGTTTTTTTTAATGTCCTGCTTTGGCCACTATTCCTTTAATATTCTAGTTTCAAGGAATTTTGGGGCCTATTAGAACAGATGGAGCATATTGAATGGAAAAAATGCGCTGTGAACTGAAACAAGAACTAAATGCCGTTTGCTTTGACTTAAAATAATGAATAGTGGTGTGCCCATAGTACTACACTCTAAAAAAAGCCTGTGCGTCTGCTTTCCCGCATAACACTCGGAGCGCCAATCACTGCAACTTACGGAGTTAGCTCAGCGAATGACGATGCCAAAACATGTTTAGACCAAAACACTCAGTCTGAGCTGTGACATTAAGCAATGCAAGCGTGGCGTTTTGCATTGCTTAATGTCATGACTCAGACTGCGTTTTTTTGTCTAAACATGTGTTTCAGCATTGTCATTCGCTGAGCTGCCTCCGTAAGTTGCGGTGATTGGCTCTCCGAGGGTTGTGCGTGAAAGTAGACGCACAAACTTTTTTTAGAGTGTAGTATTTTCCGTTCTGTAAGTCTCGTTTTGTTTTCAAATATTTTACAGCGGAGCTGTTAAGGGCTAGGTTCCCCAGGATCGTGTCTGGTATGTCGACACAAACCTACCTGGACAGCTACCGCCATCTATTATAGAAGAATGGATAGTTGGGCGCGTTGGTGGGAATTCATCGTAGGAAACAGCCCGAAAAACGGACGACGACAAAGAAGCACGCAGTGTATCGAGTACAGCTCCGCTGGTCTTCCTTCTTCACGAAAGTGGAAAGGCTGAACGTTTTTTTTTGTTTTTTTTTAATATGTTTTATACAACGATACAACTTATATGTGGGTCGTTCTTAAAAAATTTTAACAGCGCGACATCATTTTTTATGCAGCGCGTGCCATCTTTCATAGAGCACCGCAACTACGTAGCCATAGGTGGTGTTGTACCCCTTCTAGGAGGCACTGCTGTCGCCAAACTCTTCTCCACTTTTCATAACAGACTCGGGAAGCGAGGAATTTGATGGTTTCCCCGAAGGCGGCTCGATGTGGTTCGGCAAGTCAGTGAGAACAACGCTTTTACAGAATGTTACCAACGTTGCCTCATTCAGACATGGTTCTGTATTTTTTTGGCTTCAGTCCAGTAAAGCGCAGTCCAAACCGACACGTATTCCGGATTCGTATGCCGGAACCTGTATGGAAGCTTGCTTCCAGGTGCGATGTCACCGCTCTGTTTTTACGGGTTCCGGCACCAGTATTTGGAGTTCAAATATCTCAACTTTCACGTGTCCCGTATTGTGACGTGGGCATTTACACTGAGGGAGTGTCTAATCACGAAGCGCGCTTCCTTCCCGCCACTGAGCATGTGCTCTTTGCGTGCTTGACGAATGAAACAATGAACGCTGTCCGCACCATCTCCGACGCTGAGACAATAAGGACGACGGTGCCTGCCAGTGTCGCCGAGCATGGGCGCGCGGGGTCAGCCAGCTGCAGTGCTGCCTGATTCTTGGAGTGATTTTTTTGTGCCGAGTCTCATCTTTCCTGTCAAAAATTTTTGTCAGTATACGCTTTTGCGCGCAGTGGTTTTGGTCTGATGACGTGAGAATTCGCCTGTTCCGCCGACTACTGTTCAATGTACCCACGCTTGGTTGGGTCAAACGTGTAGGTGAGGCGCCCTTCGATACCGGAAAAAGGTTTGTCGGCGCCACTTCTCTGTTTGTCAAGTTGAGTCGCAAACGCGTGGTGATGTGAGCTTCTCTCACGGTGGTTTCTCTGGGTATTTATGTCAGTATTCGCTTTTTGTACGCGGTAGTTTCTGTGTGATGACGTGAGAAATCGCCTTGTCCGCCAACGTTTCCACGCTTCGTCGAGCCCAGCGTGTACATGAAGTGCCCATCAAGACCGGTGGTGCTAGCTTCCCTCTCTATGGTTTCAGTGGGGTGCCGTGAACATGCTGTGCTTAACACATGCTTGAGCGACGCCACCACCGTGCTGCCTCGCCGGTCTCCATCTACTCCTCTGTTGGTGTTATAGAGAGTTTTAGAATAGCACATGCTAAAGCTTTGCGTACGCAAAGAATAGCGTCGTCGCCCCTGCGCATGCACCGAACGCTAACCAGATTTTGTGCTTTGCGTGCGCTATTTTAGCGTATTCTATATTTATGAAATTCCGGGCGTACGCAAGGAGTCTTTGCACTCCTCCAAGGAGAATTCATGATGAGAAGTGGGCTAAATCCAAGAAGAGCACAGTGAAAAAATGGCGGCTCCAAGGACCATGGCTGCGGCCGCTTTGGCGGTGTGGCGGCGTCGTGAGCACGACGTCGGCGGCATCCTTGCGACTAATTTTCAATATGGGATGACATTGCACTTGGTTTGGAAAACCCAGTAAGGCGGGCAATGATCACCGGCAACTTGATGCTTGCGATGCGCGAACATTTCTCGGCGAAGGTATGGTGTGCGAATGTTAGTAAGTACACGACACTTCTCTTGCCGAGGAGACGCAAGCGGATATGGCCGGTTAACCGGTGTCATCGCATTCTTATGCTTAAACAAATCTAAAAGGTTACTGTGGACCCAAAAACTTGTTTTTTCTCAATTTGCAGCATTTCGTGTGTGAAATAAAAATTGCGACTATCTTGGTGGCACGGCAAGTGTGAGATGTTTGGGCTTTTGCGTCGTGGTGTAGAAACGTTATCCTAAAACACTTGCGTAGCGTGTGCTAACGCAAGTGCTAAATTTAGCACTTGCGTGCGCTAAAATTGCAGATGTTATTCCCTATCTAATGAAGGATACCTACTGAAACGTCGCCTTAAGATAAGTACTTGTTCATCTGTAAAATGTTTTCATGTGAAGTATGATTGTTTGCGATCAGTCGCATGGTTAATCAGGTAAGCAATGTGATTGCCTCGTCCTACCATTGTCGCCCATTGAGGCTTCGTGCTGCCGGCACCCTTTTAGTCATGATCTGCCTGTGGGTTGATGCTCATGTTGTCTTTGTGACTTGTCCTTCCTAGACTAGGCTTAGTGCTCCAAAGCTTGGTTCATGAGTGTCTGGCAAGTTAAACTTTTGTTCGCTCAGCATGTGTACACTTGAATAAAGCCGACTACCTTCTTATTTGTATGTTTTACATCCTTTTGCTGCAAAACACTTGATTGACCCTACCAGACAGTGCTGCGTGCTATGGGCATTTCTCGAGAGTCGAAACGTCGAAGAGTTTGCGCGTCGAACGGTACATGTGAACTGACCGATTGTGCGAAATTTCGATTTCGTGGTACCGATGCGCGCCGATTGTGTGAAACTTTGATTTAGCAATACCGATGCGCATAGAAAAAAAAAAAAAAAATTCATTGCATGAAGAAGTAAGAGGTAGGACTTGCCTATACAAAGGTGTGGCTTAGTATACACCGTTTCTGCGAAAACTGCTCAATATACGGATATGCGACTTATACAAGGGTGCGACCTATAGTTCGGAAAATACGGTACCCAACATTCACAAAATGTGTCTCATTGTTGTAGAATTGGAAATACTTTGAGGAGTTCACCAAATGAATGAATCGGTGGCCAGGTTCTTGTGCTTTAGTTGTGACGGAAAGCCTCTGGCTTTTTGTGCAGGTCTTTCGGTGTTCATGAGTCCGCTGCTTCGGGAAGTGCCTGTAGCCGTGCTGTTCGGCGTGTTCCTCTACATGGGCATCACTTCCATGATTGGGATCCAGCTCTTCGAACGCATCATCCTATTCTTCAAGCCCACCAAACACTTCCCCAGCGTGCCTTATGCACAGAAGGCAAGTGCATATCTTCTTTGGTGCCTTCTGGCGAAAGCTCACTCCTTTGTGTTGACTTGCAGGTCAAGGCCACCAAAATGCACCTGTACACGGTGATCCAGGTTGTCTGTCTCATCCTTTTATGGGCAGTGAAGTCGTCGTCACTAGCCCTGGCATTCCCTTTCGTCTTGCTCCTTATGATTCCCCTCCGTCTCCAACTCAAGTACCTGTTCACGGAGAAAGAACTCGAATGTGTGAGTAGCAGCCGCTCATTGTGTGTCAACTTCTGCAGTTCATCATTTAGCTTCGTGGAGTATGCTTCCCCCACAACCTGGTGGTGCAAGCTTTTCTGTACTGAAAGCGTCACTTATTGGTAAATTCAGCACACACACATAAAATAGAACATAGTGCTTTTACTTTTTTACATGCTCTAGTTTTATTTTTCTGTGTACAATAGAAACTGCACTGCAGTATTACCAAAGTGTAGCTGAGCTTCCCTCGTTTCTGATCTGCCGCCAGTGTGGTGCCAGAAATGTGCTATAGCCTTTAAAATGTGAGATGGCCCTAGCTGGCACACAACAAACAATGGTGTGGCCTGATACTTTTATGACTTAAAGGGACACTGACACCCCCCAAAAAATTTTTTTTGTTTTTTGCCAGGCGCTTTATTATGGTGTCGGAGGACTACCCAATTAATATTTTGCAACAGAGTAGCATATTTTTTTAATAAAGCCAAAAGACGCAACTGCTTGAAACCGAAACCGAAACCCGACGGAGGTCGGAGAAGTGGAGAGAAGAGAGTGAGTGGCGGAAGTCACGTGGCTACACCCGACCGTGCGTTTTTTTGTTTTTTTCTCTCCTCTCCGTAGCAGACGACACGACATACGGCGTGCGATGCGGCGTGCGGGAACTGCTCGCCCTGCGATTCTTTTGCAGTTATGTTTGTTCCGCTCGTTGTTCTGTACTCCAAGATGAGTTGTTTTGTACATTGAGGAGTTGGAGATGAGTAGTGAGTGCCCGTGGTGAATTTCCATGATCGGCTCTGAGAAGAATACACCCAAGATGTTGCGTGAAGAGCTGGCTCACATGTCCTGCATCCGAAAAAAAGTGGCATTGTGCGACAGAGTTTCCGAAAGATCAACGGGATCGGGACCAATGGCTGACTGCAATTCCTGTAGAACATTTACGGGCACCTCGGAAAGCGGACGCTACCTGACTTATATGCTCCTTGCATTTTGTGGAAAGTGATTACATTGAGTTTGCAGGTGTCAAAACGAAAATCCCATACCATTTATATTCAGCGAAGTATCGTCCACAACATTTGTTTGTTATTTGTTTGTTTGTTTCAAAAAAAAAAAAGATATGTAAACATCAAAAAATGTTTGAAAAAAAAAAAAAATTTCACAGGGGATCGAATTCGGTCCTACCGTGTGTGAACCGGACGTCTTTCCCGCTGAGCTAGTGGGACATCTCGATCCTGGAGGATCTCTTTCCTTAGTAACAATTCAGCCGGTAAACTAAGTTGGAAAGTTGGCTGTCGAGTTTTCTCTAGCAAAAGCACTTCCGGGTTGAAGTCGGGAAGCACCACGCTTTGGGGACATTCGCACCTAGTAAAGAAATCGTACGCGTGCATATTCAACTCGAAGTAGACACGTCGTGCTTGACGTTTGCGCGAGCGATGTCTTCAGCCACGAGAAGGGAGCGACGGCTCGGCGACGTCTTCGTGCAAATCGGCTTGGTGGCCGGGCGTGTCGTACGGGATAAATACCAATTCTTTTGATCAGTCCCAAATTTCTCTTTTAACGGCAGACAGAATTCGCCGGTACCGCGAACGACAGTTCTGAAATAGAGGTCCCACGCCCGTCGTCCGTTGCCATATCGCCGTCCCCGCGAGACCCACGATACGCGAAACGACGAACGCACAGAATGCTTCCGGTTGTCTGTGGAACTTTTTTTTTCAATCAACGTATTTACAGCTTTTTAGAAGCCACAAAAAGTGGGTTTCATATTTTTTTCTATTTTTAATATTGAGTGTGTGCCTTCAGTGACCCACGACTTTGATTAAATTTGGTGGTCGCATCGATACCTTAGAAAACAGCCCGTGACCGCGAAAAAGAGAGTGAGCGAGACTTGAACCGACCAGTTCTTGATCGGCGATTTTCGGGCGGAAAGAACCGAATTTCGAGCCGCAAATTCTGTTCTGGGTAGTTGAGCTCTCATATGTCACGTACAACTAAAAACCTCGGCGAGCATAAATACCCTGTCAGTGTCCCTTTAAAGGGCAACTCCACTCAAAAAGTCGACCCTATCGAAATGACTGATATCGCTTTAGGAGGTCAAAATACGATCATACCCAAAATATTACGTCAAACCGACGCCGCGTTATCGATTAAAACCAATATTAAAAATGTTCTCCCGGCTAGGTTAGCGGCCCGAAAGCGGGTGAGCAACGCTGGCACCGGGTGAGCTAGTGAAGCAACACTGGGCAATGACGTAGTTCTAGTCCTACGCTCTCGTACGGACGCCGCGAGCGCTTCGTTTCCCGTGGCATTCTGCGATTCTGCTGACGGCACGAGGTGTTTACCACATTATTTTGTGTTACCCTATTTTTATTAGCCTCCAGGCAGTTCCTTTAACTCCAGCATTGCTTCCGCGACAGCGCGGAAGAGAGCAAAGCGGTGCCGCTCGCTCACGCGCGCGTCGTGGAGCCGGAGAGACTCGCCGTACTCGCGTTGGGCAATGTCGAGCAGGATTTGTAGTGGCCTGGGTTGCACCAAAAACCCGGTGCGCAACCCGGAGCTACGGTTCCACCAGTTCCCAAGAGACCGTAAGAGGCACAAGGTGTGGGTCGGTGCCGTTCGCCGGATAGACTTCGGAAGACCGTTGACCCTGAGCTCCAACGCGAAGCTCTGCTCCCAGCACTTTACGTCAGACACCTACAAACGGGATCTGCGGCTGCTGACTGTTGCGGGTTTCTCCACGAAACATGCGTCTTTGAAGAATGATGCGGTGCCGTCGCTGTTCGCGTACCATCCGCCGGCTGCTCCAGCACGATCGGCCGGACGCAGCAGGTCGCGGCTGATCTAACTAGTGTGCACATAAAGGCACCTTAGCTTAGCAACTTAGACCACTTGTGGATAGATCTGTCCATCTATCTCCCGTTATTTCGTTTTCTCTCGGTCCGCGAGCAAAAAACAAATACAGTCACGCTGCGCCGGCACCGACCGCGTCATATTTAAAGCAGTCGGATTCGCTTTTCGGCCAGGCAAATTTATAAATACACACTAAAACTTACTACATTTGGTGCATTTTAACAAAGTGAAGCGGTAAAAAAAAGAAAATGTGCATCTAACCTTCTGTTTTGAAACTCCACGTGCGATTGAGCCGACCTTGTCGGCGCGTCGGCTGAGAAGCGCGGGACCAGAACTAGGTCATGCCGACGACGCGCCGCTAGTATCAGTGTTGCCAAGCTGCTTCAATCGGTAGTTTCGGTTTCGCCGTGCTGCGGGAACGATACTTGGATTCGCGATATCTACAAAACTATACACACTATTGAAAAACAAATTATATCTCGTGATTCAGGGCGGCCGGCTTCGACTAAACAGATCATAACCCAAAAATTGTAAAAATGGAGTGGAGTTGCCCTTTAAGGTGCTGTGGGGTGGTGGGTTTGTGACTGCCCGAAACTGCGAAAACTTGGTGCGAGACAGTGTTGCCATGCAAAGGGTGGCGGCACTGCTGGTTAATGCTGGACACTCGTGTCATTGTACAAATGGAAAGGGATGTAAGAAATTAATTTCTGACGAGAAAATACTTTGATTAAAACTGGTTGGGAAGCGCTTTTGGAGTGAGCTTACCTGTTAGGGGCTGTGGCGTTTCCGTGGGGGCACAGCCTTCTGCGATGGGTGGGTGCGAGTGCTCCCGGGGCGCAGCTCACTGCACTCTCCCCGCAGCTGGACGGCGACGATGGAGGCCTGCAGTCTGACGAGGAGGATGACCCTGACTTCTACCAGCAGACGATCCTGCCCAGCTGAACTGCCCCCAGGGCATATCATTCTTCATCAACCTGTACATACACATAGAGTTAACCATAGAGCAAGGCTCACGATCTGATCACTGTTCCAGCAGCTATCATTGAGAACCGTCTTGTTTGTTTGTTAAGCCTTAACCATGACTAAACTTGTTAACCTACGTATACACATATGTTATGCTTGTTCTTTCTGTTCAGTTGTTCTGTATCTATACACATTATATATGAGCTAAGTGCCATGATGAGCTAGCCGCCCAGTAGGGGTGGACAGCTCTCGCGCTTTTCTACTATAGAGTCTGTGGCAAGATATTTTGAGTGTTAGAAAGCCAACTTAAAGAGACCGGTAAGAGGGTGATTTCACCCTTTACGCATGCAGGTTGTGTGACTCTACGATGTGCCCATAATATGCCTAGGGTCCATTATCTGTGCTTAACCAGAGTGGGCCTTTGTGATATTTCTTAAAAGCATAAAGGGTAGAGGTTAGCTGACCAACATACTTACGTACGGGCCCGTGAACTGAGAGCGCAGAGTGAGTATTACGAAACTTGGGTCTGGAACAACACCAAGCTGGAGGCATTTGTTGCGCCTTGTTGGTTTTTTTAGTTCTTGAATACTATGCGATTTTGTGAAATGCCTCCTCACTGTACCCCAAAGGGGGCAGAAACGGTGCTGTAATTGTTTGCTATTCATGCTTGAATGTTAGTGCTCATGAAGAAATATTCGCCTTACAGCAGTTTGTCAGACAAGTGGTTGAAATAAAGGGTGCATCATTTACTTGTGTGCCTTTTGAAGTGTGAACCAGTGCCACCATTTTGTTCTTGCATTTCCTTTCCTACCAACAGCTGTGCAACATCTAACTTATCCTTTTGGGAGGAACCAAACAAGTTTGAAAAACGTTTTATAAAAAAAATTGCTTTTATATGTTTAAAAAACGGTGCCAGGTTTTAGTCATACTTTTTGAAACATCCTCTTTACAGGAGGCACATTAATGTAAATCATGCATTCCGTGCATTTGGCGTATTCCATATTCAGTGATCTGCATGTGCAGATTGCAACACCCATATGATCACCTTCCACAGCTGGAAGGTTTATCAGGACTACTTGCAGTGTATTGGAACATGTTTGTGTGGAGCATCGACTTGAGTGATGCAATTTGTTGTTGAGCACTAAATTGTATACCAGTACAATGCACCAGTGTCATGTAAGCTTTGTCATGTTGTGTATGCAGACATGCAACCCATTTATAACTCGAACTTCTATGACAAAGGTAAAAAACAATGGGCTCTCAAACTATCATAGAACGTACAGTGAACTTGCAGGTAATTTAATGTTGAAGAAACTGTCCAAATTTTCTGAAATTATTGGAAGTTGTAATTACAGGATACCCATATACAGTGCACCTTTGCTTGACAGACAATAAAAAGTGGACTGTTTAGTAAATTTTTTTGATGAATGGAAAAGCTTGTGTTGCTGTTTTAGCCATCAAATAGGGTCAATTTTCATCTGTGCTGGTTTGTTGAGTTGTGCCACGTGCCTCGCTAGTTCTTTGCACGAAGCTGCGGTAAAATGTCATGCCGTCCCATGCAGTGGTGTAGCTAGGATTTTTTTCTTTGCGACGGGGGAGGGAGGGATGAAAGAAAGAAAGGAAGGAAGGAAGGAGGTGAGAGGACAGCTGAGGTTGCTAGAATGTCCACGACTTGGTATGTGGGAATGCAAAATGCATGTGTAGATTATAATTGGTCTGCTGTATTTTGGGAAAGGGAGGGGGGACAGTTGCGGCTGATAACTGCTCTCAATTGCATAGGTATTTCAGATTGAGACCTGTAAAGGACAAACAAAGAATCTATTTTGAGGAACCTTATTGCTACCTGACTGTATCCATACAAGTACCAGAGAAATGTATATTGCATCATTTACGACATCGGTGCTACAGCGTACCACAACTTAGCTTTTCTACACAAGACTACTCTTGGCGATGCTCTACTCTATTAGCTTATTTATATTGTGAACCCTTCGTGGTTTCTGATATTTGTTGGCCATGCCTGCCAATTTAACGAATTAAAAATGAAGCACCAGTGAATGCAGACAGTGTACAAGAAGCCCAAGGAGCATGCAGAGTCAAGCACTGCTATTGAGAGGTTGAATCCCGAAAATTGCGAGACATGGCAGTTCGGACTCGCAAACTTCAAGTTGTGGCAACACTGCACCTGTGCTGCTGCACGCTGCAACGGCACAGTGTTGCCCACAACTTGAAGCCTTATTTGCACCGACTAGCCGAGCAAAACTATGTGGTGGAGTATGCTTCAAAGTACCGGACAGCCGCAGCAAGTTGAGTATTCTGAAATCTGGTGGCTTTGAAGAGTGAAGCAACCATAGTTTTTTAACACATTTACTGAAGTGCGGTGGAGCCTGTTTTAAACTTTGCTGCTTTGCTGTACAATGGAAAAAATTTCTTGCACAGCTGTCTTCAAATACTGTAGCTATATGTCAAGCAAGCACAGCAGGCAACTAGCACCAATATTGTTGCATTTGTTGGTTGTCCAAAGAGACAGGAAAGCCCAAGCTGCGTTTTTGGCACCTCTGTACTCGTCCTCGCATTGTCTTGGCGACAGCTGCCAACCACGGCCACCGTTTCGCATAATTGAAAACGGAATCCGAGTTGTTTTCTATGTGCATAAAAAGTCTTGCTTGTTCAAATGACACAACTGCAATGGTGTTCTTGTAGAAGAGTGCATGCTAACCAGTTTCTTACTGTACTAACACAGTCTGGTGGGTGTATGCCCATTACTATGATTACAATTCGGTGTTGCTGTACTTGGAGCCACTGAATGAGCTACGGTCGGAGCAACGTCTTTTCAGTTGTATTGCTGCATAGCATTGCCATTTGTCGGTAAATTCTGTTGATGTGCCGAAACGAAAATCCTGAAGGCACTTTTCATCCTCCCGAAACAGATCCAGACAAATACTACCAGTCTCATAACATCGCATCTATAACTCGAGATGTTGCATTTCACAAACGTTAGGAGTGCTCGTGAAGCTCTAAGCAACCAAATAGTGGCACCTAACAGCCACTGATGCAAATAGTACTTTTCGAATAAAACCTTAATTGTATATGTACATTGGCAGCTGTCATTAAAACTGGCAAGGTGGTGCAAGCTGCTGCCTGATTCAAAGGGTTTAGCCATATACATTGATGCATCTGCTTAAGCGAGTTTCCGGTGATGCTAATCACCACCATGAGAGCATTGGACAATGGGGGAAAACTGCGGCTACCATAGCTGTAGTGCACGAGTAACTCTAGCTGTATTGACTGCTGTACAGTGAAAATGGCTTTCGATGTAGGTGCCCATCATTTGTCGGCAAGAGTGCTAATGCAGCAATCTTGTTAGCTTGGATTGCAAGTCTCCAATGGTACAGCGTCTCAAGAGCAAGTTTTAAAGCTACTTTGTGAATGCAATGTTGATATTTAACTATTTTTGCATTGTTTTAATAAATGATTTTATTATGTACAGTGCTGTTTTGCTTGAGCAGGGCAAAGTTGCCAAAGTGGAGAAGCAACTTCCATTAGTATGCTTCATTATCACATCAACAATGTTCACCAGAAAATCAATCGGTGCAACTGTGGCTTAAAATTCGTTAAGGTTTAATTTCACAATTTCTTGAGGATGCAGAACCCTAAGTGCTTGGACATGCATGCAATTGATGGCCGCAGCTAGAAACCAAAAGTTTGCTATTCTAATATGACTAAATTGACTGTTGTAAAGGTGCCTAGAAATAGAAAGGTTAAAAAAAGACTAGAAAATACTTGTTTTACTGTACGAATCTAGTGCAGCTCTGTTTGTATTGCTTCATACCTAAAATGCTTGCAATGTTCTACTTTGGTGCAAAGTCCGTTGCTTGCATATGTGAAATTAACATTGACATCTTCCCTATTTGTGCACAGCCAAAAGACTGCCGTAAACCTGAGTGCGGGCATATTTGCTGACGTAGCTGGATGCAAACTATGCGTACCCATTGTCATTCCTAGCACTTGCAGAACTAGTGAGGGATGCTGTCAGAAAGATCTAACCCTATAACCAAAGTACTTTTTCCAAAATAAATTATTTTGAACATACCCTGCTGGAAATGGGCCAATAGAAATGAGGCCAAAATTCACAGTGAACCAATGTGCAACTGTAGGTGCAGGCACATTGAGCAATATACATTTATGGAACAAAAACCTATGTGCACTAATTGGTAATCCTTTAGGAAATTCACATTGGGCTGATGGTATATTTGAGACAAAAACCAATGAGCGACAATTGGCAACAGGTACCCCAGTGCCCATTGCATTGAGGGTATTTATGGGGCAAAAACCAATAAGCAGCATTTGGCAACAGGTGCTCTTGTGCACATAGGGTTGATGGTAGTTATGGAAACAGAAAAAAAAACAATGAGCAGCAATATGCAACAGGTGCTCCTGTGCACATTGGGTTGGTGGTATTTTTGGGTTAAAAACCAATGAGTGGCAATTGGCGACAGACACCCCTCTGCACATTGGGTTGGCGGTATTCATGGGTCGAAAACCAATGAGCAGCAATTAGCACCCCTGTGCACATTGAGGGCTCGTATTTATGGGGCGAAAACCAATGAGCGGCAGTTGGCATTCCTGTGCACATTGATGGTACGTATTTATGGGGCGAAAACCAATGAGCGGCAGTTGGCATTTCTGTGCACATTGATGGTACGTATTTATGGGGCAAAAACCAATGAGCGGAAATTGGCACCCCTGTGCACATTGATGGTATGTATTTATGGGGCGAAAACCAATGAGCAGCAATTGGCATTCCTGTGCACATTGATGGTACGTATTTATAGGGCGAAAACCAATGAGTGGCAGTTGGGCATTCCTGTGCACATTGATGGTATGTATTTATGTGGCGAAAACCAATGAGCGGCAATTGGCACCCCTGTGCACATTGATGGTTTGTATTTATGGGGCGAAAACCAATGAGCAGCAGTTGGCATTCCTGTGCACATTGATGGTACGTATTTAAGGGGCGAAAACCAATGAGCGGCAATTGGCACCCCTGTGCACATTGATGGTACGTATTTATGGGGCGAAAACCAATGAGCGGCAATTGGCACCCCTGTGCACATTGATGGTTCGTATTTATGGGGCGAAAACCAATGAGCGGCAGTTGGCATTCCTGTGCACATTGATGGTACGTATTTATGGGGCAAAAACCAATGAGCGGAAATTGGCACCCCTGTGCACATTGATGGTACGTATTTGTGGGGTGAAAACCAATGAGCGTCAATTGGCACCCCTGCGCACATTGATGGTACGTATTTGTGGGGCAAAAACCAATGAGCAGCAGTTGGCACCCCTGTGCACATTGATGGTTTGTATTTATGGGGCAAAAACCAATGAGCGGCAGTTAGCATTCCTGTGCACATTGATGGTACGTATTTGTGGGGCGAAAACCAATGAGCGGCAATTGGCACCCCTGTGCACATTGATGGTTCGTATTTATGGGGTGAAAACCAATGAGCAGCAGTTGGCACCCCTGTGCACATTGATGGTACGTATTTGTGGGGCGAAAACCAATGAGCAGCAGTTGGCACCCCTGTGCACATTGATGGTTCGTATTTATGGGGCGAAAACCAATGAGCGGCAGTTGGCATTCCTGTGCACATTGATGGTACGTATTTATGGGTCAAAAACCAATGAGCGGAAATTGGCACTCCTGTGCATATTGATGGTACGTATTTATGGGGTGAAAACCAATGAGCGTCAATTGGCACCCCTGTGCACATTGATGGTACGTATTTGTGGGGCAAAAACCAATGAGCAGCAGTTGGCACCCCTGTGCACATTGATGGTTCGTATTTATGGGGCGAAAACCAATGAGCGGCAATTGGCACCCCTGTGCACATTGATGGTTCGTATTTATGGGGTGAAAACCAATGAGTGGAAATTGGCACCCCTGTGCACATTGATGGTACGTATTTATGGGGCGAAAACCAATGAGCAGCAATTGGCATTCCTGTGCACATTGATGGTATGTATTTATGGGGTGAAAACCAATGAGCGTCAATTGGCACCCCTGTGCATATTGATGGTACGTATTTGTGGGGCGAAAACCAATGAGTAGCAGTTGGCACCCCTGTGCACATTGATGGTTTGTATTTATGGGGCGAAAACCAATGAGCGGCAGTTGGCATTCCTGTGCACATTGATGGTACGTATTTATGGGGCAAAAACCAATGAGCGGAAATTGGCACCCCTGTGCACATTGATGGTACGTATTTATGGGGTGAAAACCAATGAGCGTCAATTGGCACCCCTGTGCACATTGATGGTACGTATTTGTGGGGCAAAAACCAATGAGCAGCAGTTGGCACCCCTGTGCACATTGATGGTTCGTATTTATGGGGCGAAAACCAATGAGCGGCAGTTGGCATTCCTGTGCACATTGATGGTACGTATTTATGGGGCAAAAACCAATGAGCAGAAATTGGCACCCCTGTGCACATTGATGGTACGTATTTATGGGGTGAAAACCAATGAGCGTCAATTGGCACCCCTGTGCACATTGATGGTACGTATTTGTGGGGCAAAAACCAATGAGCAGCAGTTGGCACCCCTGTGCACATTGATGGTTCGTATTTACGGGGCAAAAACCAATGAGCGGCAGTTAGCATTCCTGTGCACATTGATGGTACGTATTTATGGGGCGAAAACCAATGAGCGGCAATTGGCACCCCTGTGCACATTGATGGTTCGTATTTATCAGGCGAAAACCAATGAGCGGCAGTTGGCATTCCTGTGCACGTTGATGGTACGTATTTATGGGGCAAAAACCAATGAGCGGCAATTGGCACACCTGTGCACATTGATGGTACGTATTTATGGGGCGAAAACCAATGAGCAGCAGTTGGCACCCCTGTGCACATTGATGGTTCGTATTTATGGGGCAAAAACCTATGAGCGGCAATTGGAACCCCTGTGCACATTGATGGTACGTATTTATGGGGCGAAAACCAATTAGCGGCAGTTGGCATTCCTGTGCACATTGATGGTACGTATTTATGGGGCAAAAACCAATGAGCGGAAATTGGCAACCCTGTGCACATCGATGGTACATATTTATGGGGTGAAAACCAATGAGCGTCAATTGGCACCCCTGTGCACATTGATGGTACGTATTTGTGGGGCAAAAACCAATGAGCAGCAGTTGGCACCCTGTGCACATTGATGGTTCGTATTTATGGGGCAAAAACCAATGAGCGGCAATTGGCACCCCTGTGCACATTGATGGTTTGTATTTATGGGGCGAAAACCAATGAGCGGCAGTTGGCATTCCTGTGCACGTTGATGGTACGTATTTATGGGGCAAAAACCAATGAGCGGCAATCGGCACCCCTGTGCACATTGATGGTACGTATTTATGGGGCGAAAACCAATGAGCGGCAATTGGCACCCCTGTGCACATTGATGGTATGTATTTGTGGGGCGAAAACCAGTGAGCAGCAGTAGGCACCCCTGTGCACATTGATGGTTCGTATTTATGGGGCGAAAACCAATGAGCGGCAGTTGGCATTCCTGTGCACATTGCTGGTACGTATTTATGGTGTGAAAACCAATGAATGGCAGTTGGCATTCCTGTGCACATTGATGGTACGTATTCATGGGGCGAAAACCAATGAGTGGCAGTTGGCATTCCTGTGCACATTGATGGTACATATTTATGGGGCGAAAACCAATGAGCGGCAATTGGCACCCCTGTGCACATTGAAGGTTCGTATTTATGGGGCGAAAACCAATGAGCGGCAGTTGGGCATTCCTGTGCACATTGATGGTACGTATTTATGTGGCGAAAACCAATGAGCGGAAATTGGCACCCCTGTGCACATTGATGGTACGTATTTATGGGGCGAAAACCAATGAGTGGCAGTTGGCAACAGGCACCCCTGTGCACATTGGTTTGATGGTAACAAATTTTGGTTAATTAGCCTGTGACAGGTATCCTCTTATCTGAATGGCATTCAGACACAATTGGCATCATGGCGCTTGCCCCCTAAAGTTGACTTTTCCTCAACCTTTCCTTGTGCCTTCCCCGTGCTGCGGCTTGCCTGCAGCATTTCCAATTGCTCCAGTTTGCAAAACATCGGATTTTCTCATTGTTTTTGGCTATGCATTTCAATTGAAAAAGGCCTGCTATTTCCAGCAGGGTACTCAAGTGTAGCCTTCTCAACTTTTAAGCGCATTTATTAGATTTCTGTGAATATTCAAATAATAGTTGAGAATAAAACGCTATTCCATATTCGCTTGAAGATGAACTGCGATATTAATACTTTTCGAAGTGTTGATTCTGGTGGGTTAGCCCCGTGTAGAGCACGCTTCTTGCCGAGCACCGGTAAACTGAGAATCAACAACCGCGAAAGCGAGCTCCACGTGTGTTGCTTTTCCGCAGTACACTGGTGCTTGGTAAGAAGTGCACTCAATGGAGCTAACTTGCCACTA